GGGGGGGGGGGGGGGGGGGGGGGTTCGTACTTCCGCACATCCACGACTGTCCACAGATTTGTGAAAAATATGAGGGAAGTAAGGTATGATACGCACACAACTACATCTGTGCACGGTCCTTGCAGTCGGTCAGACAGTGTCGGTAGAGCAGAAATTGCATTCGTTTTGTTTGCAGTCGATATTAATTATGGATGGCGCAATGTGTCCCACTATACCACAAATGATAGTCGGAACAAGGTCCGTGATTCTACCTGGTGTCCACTGTTAATTACACGCATATGTATCCCAAGCGTGCTGCTCCTTGCGCAGCTTATGAATGTATATGTATATACCAATAATAATCATTATTAATTTTCAATAAACAAACCACATTTATTATCTAGGGGAAGTTAAAGTGAAACGGGCCTCTATATTAAATCATCAATGTCCCCCGATCCATAATACATAATTGCGATCAGTCAGTTCTCATTTTGAAGCTTGAAAAGATACTTTGGAAATGAAACGAAAAATTGAGTTTCACCCTGCCGATCTTGCGATTTTGATGACTGAAAACGGCTTATTTTCTTCCCTCCAATCGTGCAGAACTTTAGGGATAAATGGAAAAAAGTCGGAATGCCGAAAAGCATTTTCAAATTTTATTCAACTTTTTTTACCACTCCTATGAACTCCTTTGAAAAATCCTTATGAAAGGTGAAAAATAAATGAAAGCGACAAGTTGTATAAATTAGGGAATATTAGCAAGATAATCCTTGACGTGGGATGGATCTAATCGTCTGAAACCATTGGCATCGCCGATTCCAATCTCAATGTTATCAGCTGTCATCTGGCCCTCGAATCCCTCTTTGAGTGTCAGAATGGCAGTGTGGACAGCATCATCAAGCTCAAGATCCTCACTATAACGTTTCTCCAGGAAAGTTTTACCGTTAATGAAATTCTTGCCCATGGCAGTTGCTCTCCAGGCGAAATAGGCGCCCGAGGGGTCACATTGGAAGAGATAGGGCTTTCCATTGTCCCATCCGCAGATCAGGAGGGAAACACCGAAGGGTCTGACACCCCTGAACAGAAAAATATGATTTTCATCAGATTAAGAGGTGAACAATTCTTGAAAACAGAATGGGATAAAATGGGCACTTGATTTTTTCTCTTAAAATCCAATTTGTCCCTCCCCCCTAGGTACAATACAATAAATAATAATAATTGATTTGTGTATCTTATGTTCAAAACTCAGGGACAAATTTGGGCTTTTGATTGGGGATTTTCAATTTTTTTCAACTAATGGATTAATAAACTACCCTGAAGAGACAAGTTTTCATTTTGCCCCACTAACTTCTATGATTTCCTTACCCCGATTGAGTGTACTCTTGCATGAGCATGGCAACTCTCTGAACGAGTTGGGCAGTGGGAATGGGCTCGTTGTAAACCAACAAGTACTGCTGTGCCATTTTTCTAGCTTGTTTAACTAAGAGACGATAGTCAGGCCCCATGCCACTGTAGATCATGCCAATGTGTTTGGTGATCATCTCCACTTTATTGAGACTGTGCTCATCGTAGAGAATTGATTTGTGTTTATTCTCAGTGGCTAGTACGACTCCATTGGCAGCTTTGATGCCAACACTTGGTGCACCACCTGCTACGGCAGCCAGGGCATATTCAATCTGCACGAGCTTGCCCGATGGGCTGGACAAAAAACATTTTCATTGTTATTTAAAAAGTTCTCACTATGATAATGGACTTGTGGAGGTTAACTGCAGGTGTAGTCGATTGTGCAAGTCACATTTAGGTGTTAAATGACGCTGGAAACACTTGTCAATTGGTGGTTCAGTGGATCATTTTTGTGAAAAGATTAATCAAACATTTTTGTCGATAGTATTTACCTGAAAGTTGTCAGAGAGAAGCTGTATCTTTCAGAGGCCATGACAATTGCTTTTCAACAAATTCAGTCTTCTGAAGTGATCAATATAACACCTACAGTCGTTCGGGGGGCTGCCAACTGCTAGTAACTCTGAGTGTTGGCACGGCTGTCACTGGTAATTGAGGTATGAGATGGGGTTCACTTCATGTTGTCGGACGCTACCGTCTACCGTACTCTTTAGCAAGCCGCAAAGTTGCAATTTCAGGAGAAAAAAGAAGGATAAATCAGCAGAATCAACTAAAGTAAACGTTTCCACTCTTGATGTAAGTATGATTCTTCTGAATATTCGATGAAATACAGTTTCACAAGGTAATAAAATAAGATTTCGCCACGAGAGCATCACCGCCAAGGGTTATGCTTTATCGATTTTTGGAACCGAGTGAATTTTCACTTGTACTCTCTTGCAGACTGAAAATGGTTCGAGGACGAGGAGGAATAATGAGGGGTGGACGAGGGGGAATGGGACGTGGCATGGGTTTCCCGAGGAAACAATTTCTACCCAGGCATCCCTTCGATTACACCCTTTGTGAAGCTGCTTTTCCACCAGTCAAGCCGGCACCAGATGAGTCGGACTTGACACAGGCTTTGTTGAAGAAAAATTCGGACATGTGCCCAACTCCTAAGGAGCAAACGTCCATTCTTGATCTTGTTGTCAAGCTGCAAAGTGTTCTGGATAATTTAATTGTCGCGCCTGGCACTTTCGAGGCTTGTGTAAGTGATGAAAAATTTTCTCAGCATTTTTGAGTGGGAAAAAAATTTGGGTTTCCAACTTTTTCTGTTGAAATTATGAAATATGGTTTAAACGTTGGAAACATGATACTTTTGGACCAATTTTATGGTTTCTTTCTACAATTTCAGACTTTGATATGGCCTTTGTTTGGTATTAATTAAAATTGAATGTACAATATGACCCTCAACATTTTTACATTTTTTTAAAATTCGGTATTTCTCTGCCATCCTAACCAAGTTAAATAACTGCAAAAATTGTTCATTTCTGTTCTCATAATTTTCACCACAAAAACAAAAAAAAATATATACAGGGCTTCAATAAAAATAATTACCCACTTGTTTAAAATTTATGGAGCTCATTGTTCTACAGCAATTGGAGGAGCTGAGAAAAGTCGGAAGCTTCAAGAAGGGAACAATGATAAAAGGCCACAACGTTGCAGATATAGTGGTAATTCTCAAAACCCTCCCCACTAAAACAGCTGTCGAAGCACTGGGCAATAAAGTGTACACAGACTTGAAAACGGTTAATCCAAAAGACGTGTTCAGGCTAGTGCAGACTGAGCGTGGTTTCGATATCGCTAATAATGAAGCAACTGTGAGGATTCTCATAACGACTCTTCATCAGAATCTGAGAAAACTAGAGTCTGAGCAGCACGTTGATGTCAAGATTTGTCAAGGACACCTGGCAGCTATCAGACACTCGGGATGGTTCGAGGAGAACGCCCATCATACGAGCATAAAAATTTTGATCCGACTCCTGAGGGACTTGAGAACTAGATTCGAGGGATTTGAGCCACTTTCACCGTGGATGCTGGATCTGTTGGCACACAATGCCATTATGAATAATCCTGGGCGACAGGCCTTGCCGATCAATCAGGCTTACAGGCGTGTCCTTCAACTTTTATCTTCAGGCCTATTCCTCCCGGGATCTGCAGGTGCGTTCATATTTTCGAGTATTTCCATTCCCATATTTACAAGTTACAAGGAAAATAATAAATATTTTGCAAAATTTTCTCAGGCATTTCTGATCCTTGCGAGGGTGGGAATATTCGTGTACACACAGCAATGACCCTGGAGCAGCAAGACCTGGTCTGCCTCACTGCCCAAACTCTCCTCAGAGTCCTTGCCCATGGGGGCTTTAGGCCCCTCCTAGAAGGCACCAACAAACTCGCTGTCGAGATGAGTGTGTGGCCCGGTGGAGTTGTCGCCAGTCCCCTGGACAAGGCTTACGAGCCTCCGACTGATCAAGAACAGTCAGAGGACATGGAGGAGAACAACGAGGAGATGATCACTGAGACCTCTTAATTTTTAACTTGTCAATTTCTCCATATTCAATGAATTTCTACAAATTATTCGTATTTCTATATGTATTGGCTCCAAAATGATCGACATGGCGAATTTTTTAATCACCACGAATGCTAAAAATAAAGTCAACTGTGTAATTGAAATACCTCATCGATAGGTACTTTATTATTCTAGTCTCTACAATAATTCGTTCCTCCGCGTTTCTCAATTATATGTAATTGCTATGTTCGATCTAGCGACAGGGGTCGTCTTCAGGTGAACTACTGACCCTTGCACAGTTCATATTACCTGGTGTCACTGGTACCCTGAACAATTTTCCCTCTGGCATGCAAACACAAACTTTGTACTGCAGAGCTTCTGATCTGCCACTCCGTACGAATGCTGGGGCTATTGGAATCTTTTGGACGTCCAAGAATACTCCATTAGTAGCGTCAAGAACCATGCTGTCGTTGCTCTTTAAATTCACATCGTTATTCGCCATAAGAATGATCTCTTTCCCCTCCATACTGAGGCTCTCTGCTCCATGTATTGAAACTTGTTTTTTAGAATCCAACATCAGAGTCTCATTCACTGGAGACACTATTCTGTGTGTCTGCGCCAATTTTACGTCGATCCTGTCGACTCCTCTGAGGGATCCAAAGTTGGAAAAATTTGTGGAGAACAATGAGTGGCCGTGGTGGTCTTTTATTTCGAAAGATTCTACTTGGGAGACTGATGTCATATTTTTGAGAACGCGAAAATCACTTCTTATGTGGTCGTAACGGTGATTCTGCACGTTCAGGTGTACTCCCGCATTATGCCCGTAAATCTCAACAGGTTCATCACCGTATCCCTGGCAAATTCCCCTTTCAACGCACACCTGTCGAGAATATTCAAAGATATGATGCTTCTTCTGAATCTTTCATATTTTGCTAATTGTTCATGTTAATTTTTTTATCAGGAATGGTGGGATAATGAATTAATAGAAAACGTTGACAAAAAATATATTTCAGCGTGTTGGTCTGTGTAGTTTGTCTAAGAGAATTATTCAATACTCACGTGGTCCAGATCGGTATTACCGAAGAATTTCACCAAAGATTCTTCAGGAATCACCTCTAGAGACTCCATCCCTCGGGAAACTCTTAGAACATCGATAATTGTGATACTCAAGAGGAGATTACAGAGACCAATTACAGCTAGAATACACGTCAGTGTCCAGAGGCAGTAGCGCTTTTTCTCAGAATCAAAGGAGGAGGAGGAAGACTGCCCATAGGAAGGTGCGCGAGAAGGGGATCTCGAAGTTTTAGCGCTCGAACCGTTCTTCAGGCTGCAATCACATAATTTTCATTCTATGATTGAGGATTTTTATGTTTCAACATACTTCAGGAAAACGAACCTGATGGGAGTATTATTTCTAGCAAAACTTCTCTTCAATAGAGGACCATCACTGTTCGACAAGTTGTCTTCTGCTTTGGACATGGATGGAGAACCGGTGTCAGTTTCCGTCTCGGGGAAATTCGACATATTTTTCAAAAATTATTCACGTAATGAGAGATTATAATTTTCTTGAGGAATTTGGAAGATCTTTTCGGCATTCGCGACACTGTAAAGCCCAAAAGTGTCATTCAACCCGCGCCTGCGTGGCTCTAATATTGATGTTGCGAGACCTTCAGGGACGAGGGTGGACATAGACACGCTGAGATCCTTCTATTTTTAGTTTGATGCACATATTTGTGCTTCAAATATCAATTTTAACAGTCATAGTAACTGCTCTTCCAGTTCCAATTGTCGTAGCTTCTTCAGAATTATAAAAAAATTGAGAGTTGCAATATTTCATCATCATTTTTTTCCCATAAATAAAATGAAAAAAAAATCTAAACCCAATAGCCAATAAAAAATATGATTCTACAAATAACTACAATAGACGAAGAAGATAATGAAAGAAAGAAAGTGTGAAAATAATTTTTACAATTTTCAATTCGACTATAAAAACAAATGCCTTTGCGCTATACTACACTATATTTTTATTCATTTGTTATTCAAACGTGGTAACACTGCCACCCGAATTTTCCCGCGTTTCTAGGACCTCTCCATTGCCGTCTAGTGATGAGCTTTGTCCATTCACGGCCGCTATCTCCTTGACTGCATTGTTCGTAAGTTTTTAAATGATCGATTATTAAAATTATCTCCATATTTACATCATCCACTATCGAAAATATCGCATACTCCACCAAACAAGTCTATCGCATTCCTCCGAACAAAACGGTATCCAATGGAGGTTATTGAAGCCCATTCAAAAATCATGAGATAAATTGCTGTACCAAGCCCATCATATTTTCTTGAAAATAAAGAATCCAAGTTTCTCAAAACGAAAAAAAATGTCATTCTGCTCATAAATGAGCAATCTCCATTCATACAGGTCTGATAGTTGGGATGTACTATTTCCCTATAGGTTCTCTCGTCACATTGACATGAAAATGGCGTTCCTGTAAACAACTCTGGGGATTACCTCGCTCAGAGTTTATCATCATTCCAAGAATTCTCGACAATTTCCGATTGCTTATTCTTATTTCTTTGAGAGTGCCACAAATATCGGGAAGTTGACCCAAAGAGTATTCACTGATACAATGGGAAAAACTTGAACATCGGACGCATTAACCTCAAGTGTGTACGTATTGTCAAGCGATTTTCGGAGCCATATTAGGGACTTTGACGCGAACGAAAAGAAATCACTTATTTCGTATTGAATGAAATGAATGACACAGTTTGTGGGAACAATGGTAGATACACGATTCAAGTGTCATGAGAGGGAGATTCCTCATGCTGAATGATGATTCTCATTACCCGGGACCCTCAAGGATTCGGTGTACATTGCACAGATAAATAGAAGTAAGAAAAGAAAAGAAAAATGCCTAGGAAGGATCGTTCCAGAAGTGACCGGGCTCCTGGCTCCGAGGCCACCTGTGTCTTCTGCAGTTCGTCAGAGGACAACGAGCTAAAGTATGGAAAGATTCACAAGTACAATGGTATCACCACTCACTATTACTGCCTCTTACTGTCATCCAATATGCAGCAAAAGGGCGGCGATGACGAAGGAATTCTCGGATTTTTAACTCTAGATATACTAAATGAATTGAAAAGAGGAAAAAGACTGTCTTGCTCCTACTGCAAGAAGATCGGTGCCACTCTAGGATGTTGTAACACGAAATGTAAAAAGATATTCCACTTGCCCTGTGGGTTAAAATCAGGTTCACTGCATCAATTCTTTGGTGAATTTCGTTCGTACTGCGTCAATCATCGACCGAAGCAGAAGATCGACGAGAAGATCAAGGCACAAATTTCGGATCAATTGCTCTGCTACATCTGCTATGACAATGTCGACCGAAATAATTTATTTGAGACCCTGTGGGCACCCTGCTGCAAGAAAAACGCTTGGTTCCATCGACTCTGTGTGCAGCAGCTCGCCATGAGTGCTGGATACTTCTTCAAATGTCCACTCTGCAATAATAAGAAAGAATTCCAGAAAGCCATGCTCGATAATGGAATATTCATTCCATGTCAGGACGCCTCGTGGGAACTGGTCCCCAATGCCTTTCAGGAATTGCTGTACAGGCACAACCGATGCGACGCGAGCCAATGCATCTGCTCCAAGGGCAGACGATACACAAGTTCGAATCCCAAGTGGGAGTTGATCCTCTGTCGCACGTGTGGCTCTCAGGGTATTCACGTGGCCTGTGGCAGATTGAAATGGGGAAATGCCACGTGGGACTGCCGAGAATGCACCTCGATACTCACAAAGACCGCTCAGGAGAACTCGGAGGAATCGAGAATGTCGGACAATTCAACTCCCTCTCTGAATCCATCAACCAAAGATGATTCTTGTCACTCTGACAGCGATGGCTCGGACTCTGATATCTCGGTTGGTGTGGAGGAGCCTGTTTATGGACCGACTCCTTGGCCAGCAAATCCTGATACCCCACCTCAGACTGCCATACGACCTGGGCCCAGATCATTTAAATTGAAACAGGAGAAGATGTTGAGGGCAACCTGCGACGTCAGTTCTGAAGGGACGAGTAGTGAAGCGTCTAGCCCACATTCAGAGTCATCCCGGGGATTATTTGGAGAGAATCGTCGAGGAAGAACTACCGCAGACTCTTCATCTTCCACAATTGATCGAGTGAACCAGGGAACTTCTCGAACACCTTCATCATCCATTGCAAGCTCTCAGCCGACCCCCAAGACACTACCAGGGAGGTCCAATTCTCCCGAGGAACTCGTCATCATCGATAGTGACGAGGAATCTTTCCCAGAGAAATCAGCACCTCCAATCTCCAACATCACGGAGGACGTGCTGATGACGAACAATGAAATCAACATTCCAATTCATCATGTTCCCTCTTCGTTACCAAACGGTCTGAGGATACTTGGGGATACTCGACCACCAACCCCGCGAGCAAACCTACCAGTTATCGAGGCTACTTATATATCTGCAGATATACTGGGTAATCAATCGATTGGTCACATCGCAGTTGGACCCTCGCACGATCCGGTGATCCTTGGAAACATCCAGATGCCCACTCAGCTTCCACCACTACCATCTGCAATATCCTTCACTAATCAAGCTATATTCCGACCGCAAGAACAACTATATCCAGTTGCTCCCATTTATCCAAATGCTGATCACGTCCCTGAGAGTCCTGTGATGAACATACAAATTACCAACGTCACTTCATTACCACTCGAGGAATTTGCTGGGGAATCAGAAGCCCAGAATGTGCCAGTTTCATCGACATTGGATACTACTCCAGAGGTGGTTGATGTGGAGTCCGATAATGAGGAGATCAATTATCATCTTTCAATGGCTCAGCAGCTGAGGCAAGCGAATTTCAATGTTGCCAATCAACAGATGAATCGTGAAAAAAGGCCAGCACCGGTGATGCCAGTGCAGCAGAATGCAGTTGATCCCAACAATTCAGTGCCCAACGTGGTATCAGCAGATCCGAAGAGGCCGAGGACAGACTGCCCCCTCGAAGTACCTCAAATCACTACCGACGAGCCGACTGATTCGTCTGATAATCCCTATGGTCGCGGAGTTTCCTTGGAAAATGCAGCGATAGTGAAAGTCATGGGGAAGGAATTTGTTCTTCCATTGGCAGACGAGGCCCGGGTTAAAGTCAACAGCACCTGGCAACCTGAGGTAAGTAATATTGAAATGCTCGTATCGATCTCTTGGGAAACATATGGGAAGTATCTTTTGTCGAGAATAACGCGCGCGAGGACTATGATTTATTTTATCGGTTCCCCGTGCCTTACTCTCTCTTGTGTACAATCTACGATTCTAACAGTACGACGGGGATGCAGGCACCAAACCTGCAGACGAGACCCCAGAGCCAATCACCCGATGTCGAAGTCATCGAATCTACTCCATGGAGATACCATCCAGAGGGACAGGAGCTGAAAGCTGTTACGAATCAAAGTAAGGATTTTCATATTGACAAAAGCATTCAAAGTAGGGATGAGTGGGGCAAAATGAGCACTTTCAAAGTTTTTTTGAATGTTAATGATTCTTGAATTTCAAGTAAAATGGTTTTTTTTGTTTTTTCATGAAAATGAATATTCAACAACTAAAAAATATCCAAATCTATAGCGCAGCCCGTCGAAAGGGTAGGGCTGCTTGAATTATTAATACCATTCATATACTTCAATTAGATTTTTATTGCTATGATTCAGATCAGCCAGTGGGGATGCAATTGCAGAATCTGATGCAGCATCAATCAACACAAGGGCCGGTATTACAACAGCCTCAGATCATTCAAATCGACTGAAATTACTCAATTCAATTTCATTGAAGGACTTGAAATTTCGTGTTTGTGAAAATAACACTTTGAAGGTAATTATTTTTCCACCTCTAGAAAAATCCTAGTAAGACTAAAATGAAAATGTAATGGGCTTGTGGAATGTTTCAGATGACCGTTAATGATGTATTTACAATGAACCTGGATCTCGACACAGGACAGAAGCGCAGGCCCGGACCTAAATCTGCAGTTGAACGCTGGAGGCGCAATGGATCTTCGCTGGTACGTCGATCCTCATCAACGTATTATGAGAGCAGAATCAAATTGGAAATGAATTGCACAAAGAGTCCAACGAGAGAGACAACTTTAGCCATGAACATATCTAAATTGTTCAAGTCCCCCGAACGTCGAAAAGTGAATGCTCTGAAAGAGAATTTGGCACCACTGGTGGCTGAGACGAACACCGTGAGCTATTCCCCGAGTCCTGAGAGGAAGGTCAAACGTGTACGACTTGATAACGATGGTGCCATACACTATGATTCACGTCAACGACAGGTGAAATGTCTCGCGAATCTTTTGAACGAACAAGATCATGCAGGGACCAGCAGAGATGATCTCAAGCTCTCTCACTCATTAATTGATCAGACGAGTAAATCTCTCAACAGGCACAAATCCAGAGGTACATTTGGAGTCAATTCACCAGTTAATGAAGATAAAGAGGGTTTCCCTGTGAGCATAGAATTGAGTAGGATACAGCCTCTCCTATTGTCGAAGTCGGCACTGTTCGAGGGGAATGACGAATTATTGGCACGAGGATTAGTCAAATTTCATAGCATAAGCGACTTGAGGTGTTATCCATCTATTGAGAATCATTCTAAGGGAATACTTAGGCGAAGTAGAAGTTTGAACAGTTTGTTGCTGTCGAGTGGTTCAGAAATTTTTGATATTAATGTTAATGATAATCGCATCAATCTCCAAAGACGAGGGAAAAAAAGAAAGGCTCGATCATTTGAGAAGCACAATTGTATGAGATAACTTTGCGAATGCCTCGATCAAATCAATTTCATTTGACCGGATCAGTTTGAATTCATAATTGAACTAAAACATTATGGTATATTTATGTAGCAAAACATATATTTTGTTCGTGTACTGGCCAAAGTTGCAATGTTTATGCTGTATATTTTGTCAACGTAATGGCTGACCTTATCAATTGAACACTTATGGCTACAATAAAATATTTTTATTTAAATTCCTGTTTTATTTCTTCTCTCAGATGAGTTAAGTTGTTGGATTCTAAAAAAAAACATTATTGTATTTTACATTACAATTTTTTTTTCGCCAAGTGAATGTTGGTTCTGTATTTATTGACCCCTGAGATGCCAGTGAAACACTCGAAGGCCATACAAATGTCGAAATAAAAAATTTTCATTTTCACCTTGGATTTCGTCAGCCACGCGGCCTTGTCAATTATTTTATTATGAACACTATCGCTGTTACCGACCGTGCAGTTTTCTTGGAACTTCGAAGTCGTCAGCAAAGTGTGACGGCGGCGCGGGGGGGTAAAAGTCACAAAAACTTTAATGTGAAAGAAAATCAACAAGGTTGTAAATCAACTAACAATGAGTAAACGACACGGATTATCGGTGAGTTTGTTGATCTTTTAATTGAATTGAAAAATCATTCAGTTAATCAAACACCGGATAATACGGCAGCGATATTGACGACTAACCTCAAAATTTCCTTCGTTATGCATTCGTTGATCATTTTCATTATATTTTCACACAGAAAGAGGAAATTGCGAAGCAGTTTATGCTGCCAGAGAGAAAAAGCAAAATCGCTACGTTATTGAAACAGGATGGACAGGCTTATTGCATTTGCAGGAGCTCAGACAGCTCTCGTTTTATGATGTGAGGATAATCTATGTTTACTAAAACTCTCAATTAATGTCACTTGGGGAGAAAAATTATACACGAAATTGTTAAAAAAAACAAGACCTGAATCTAGCTTCAAACGAAAACATAACTTATTTGTAAAAAAAATAATAATATACTTAAAACGTTTCAGTGGATGCGATGCATGCGAAGAATGGTACCACGGCGACTGTATCAACATCACAGAACGTGATGCAAAGTACATAAAACAATTTTTCTGTGTGGTAAGTGCATCACTAAAATATCTTCCATCAGATTGCTACCGGAATACATGTTGTTAAATAGAGAATTCATCTACAGAGGTGCAGAGAAGAAGATCCGTCTCTGATAACTCGTTACAAGCCCCGAAGGACCGAGCAGGACGATCGAAAATTGAAAAAATACAAAGAAAAGGAGCGGACTCACCGACATGAGCACGACGGTGCCTGGGATACAACGATAATAAAAAAATCCTCAAAACGATGTGGCGAGTGTATCGGCTGTCTGCGCACCGAGGATTGCGGTAAATGTGATGCCTGCAGGGACCTGAAAAAATTTGGCCCATCAGTGAGATTGAAACTGCGTTGCATTCAGAAGACGTGCAGAACCGTGGGGATTCCATTGAAACCCTCCAAGAGTGTCAATCGCAGTGACAAACCCAGCAAAAAAAGAAAAAGGGACTCTAGCAACGAGAGAATCGATTTTCTCGAACCTCCCCAGCAATGTTATGGACCAGCTTGTACGAAGCAATCTCGTTTAGGCTCGAAATATTGCTCAGACGATTGTGGAATGAAACTTGCGACCAACCGAATCTATCAAGTTTTACCGCAAAGAATTCACGAGTGGTCATTGACATCCTGTGTCGCTGAGATGAACAACAGACGTGCCTTGGAATCTGTCAGAAAACAGCAGCACGAAGTCCGGAGGATCCTCCAGGAATTGGATAAACGGCATATGGAGCTCGATCGCATCGTCGAAAGGGCCAAGAATGCATCTATTGATCCCAGTTATGAGGTGGATGAGAATGACGACACTGAGATGAGCATGTACTGCATCACCTGTGGTCATGAAATTAATTCACGCACGGCTATCAAACACATGGAGAAGTGCTTCAACAAATACGAGTCCCAAGCGTCCTTTGGTTCTATTTTCAAGACACGTATCGAGGGTCAAGTTATGTTCTGCGATTTTTATAATCCCGTTAATCGTACTTATTGCAAGCGCCTTCGTGTTCTGTGTCCTGAGCACTGTAAGGATCCAAAAGTCAGTGATACGGAAGTTTGTGGCTGTCCTCTCGTTACCAATGTCTTCGACACCACTGGGGATTTTTGCCGAGCCCCGAAAAAACACTGTTTAAAACACTACGTCTGGGAAAAATTGAGACGAGCTGAGATAGATATGGAGAGAGTGAGGCAGTGGTTGAAGATTGATGAACTTGTGGAGCAAGAGCGACAGATAAGAGCGAGCATGGCCAATCGAGCGGGGGTTCTTGCATTGATGTTGCACTCGACTTACAACCATGAATTGATGGAACAAATGACTCAGGAACAGAATAGAGAGCACGTCAAGGCTAATGAAGAAGAACTGCAGAGACGATCGAGGCAACTTCGCTTAGAAATGGATAAACATATTCAGTGATCATTTTTTTCATGCGCAATCATTTAATAAACTAATAATTCATTGAAGAATTGAAAAGAATGTTGTGTCGTTGTTTTGTTTATTATCTCCTTTCTTCAAATTCTTTTTCATCACACTGTCCGTAAATTCAATAATGTTTTTACCTCTCTGAACTATAAGTCTGTTTTCAACACAGCGACGAGTTTTGCCTGCGCTTTACGGGGCTCTACTGTTGATTGATGTCCACGTGTTTTCCAGTGATCATTTCATATACATTATGATTGTTCATCATAAATTGTTTGAATAGATTATTATCGTTATTTTTTCAGCAGGCTAATCTAAACAAATAAACACTGCTGGAGCTATTTTACAGGGTTTTAATAAAGGTAAAGTTTATTTTTCCATGTAAATTCAGCGATACAACATCTTTATAGGTTATAATATAATTCTTCATGACCGGTGGATATTATTGTTCTGATGATCACATTGAAGGACATTTTCAACAATCATTCTAATTAATAAGAGTGTGTGTTTTAGCAGTTTCTACAATAGAAATGTCGACGTCACTGGCAGAGCAGCTGCAGAAGCTGCGTGTGCCTCAAACATCTTTATTACTGCAAGATAAAAAACGTCCGAGTCTTCTGTTTGATCCAAGAGAGGCTGCCAATCTCGATCGTGAAACAGTCTTCAATATAGGTAATTAATTAATCGCATGATAGGGGAACAAAATGGACACTTGAAATTTCAAGTGAAATGGGAACATTAAGAAAAATATCACAAGTGCCCATTCTGCCTCACCCTATACCAATAACTCTCTATAATTGAATACAAATATCGTTAATCTTCTACAGGAAAGAATGGCCTCGAGGAATTGATAAAACTGTCCAGTGTATTCAAAGAATTTGAAACCACAATATTCGCTCAAAGTGCAATAAATCTAGAACGTTCAGTTCAAGATGCAAAAGTTAATAAGCGCTTGGATGCAGGAGTAGAAAAGTTTTTGATCTTCCTGTCACCGTATTTTCTACTGAACACTGCTCACAAGGCACTGGAGTGGCTCATCTACAGATTTCACATCCACGAGTTCAACAAGGATGCTTTCCTCATGCTCATACTGCCTTATCACGAGACAAGGATGTTTGTTAGAGCATTGCAGTTGGTGGAGTTGAAGAATCAGTCTGACAAGTGGCACTGGCTCCAGCCCCTGCAGAGACCTGGGGTCCCTCTGTCCACCATGACTCTTGTGAATCGCGTTGCCGTGGATAATGCTCTCCTGAAACTACTCTGCAATCATGTGGTCCAAGCAACAACCGTTTACGACGATGGAGCATCCTCCCTGAGTACACTCTACGCTTTTTATACTACAGCCATCATTGGCAGCATCGAGAGAACTGAGAAAATATCTGAAGTGCAGATTAATTATCTACTTCCATCTTTAGTTAAAGGTCTGTCTAGCACAGTCACTGATTTTATTGCTGGAAATTATATGATTCTGGTGCAATTATCCAGAAAAACTAAACTGACTGATGCCACTGTGGAGTATCTGATTGCAAGAGCCCTGAAAAATCCAACATTGAAACACGATTTGATACTTCTCATTTGCTCACTCTACGAGACCTCGAACAATCGACCCAACTCTATTGCCGATAAAATTGTGCTGAGGATATCCGGATTCGACTGGTTCTGCGATGAGATATCTAATGTCAAGTCTCATGGAATCAAAGTGACTAAATTCGTTGTTCCACTCGTCGAGTCCGCAATAAAAATTGTTCTGAGAAATCCTCGTGAGAATGAAGGAATCAGAAGAATGGTGAACGATATATTCCAAAAAATTCGATTCGACGATTATGAAGTGGATGTTATTCTACGAAACACGTTGAAGCCAAACCTGATATCTGAGGAATTGAACGAAGATGGCAAGGCCTTTTTATCAACTCTCTTCAATTCTCTGGAGATCAGGTATCCCGTTCAATTCGACGAATACTTGAAAAAGCTGATGAGAACAAGTGAGAAGAAATCAGAATCCAAGGAAGCACTCCAGTTTTTAACGACTTGGCACGATGGAATAGAGAGCACGAAAAAATCAATGGAGATTTTCGATAAACTCAATCATTACAGTGCTGAGCAACGAATCATGGCGTTGGAGTGTCTAGCAGCATCGCCTGGCGAAATTGCTGAGGGATTCCAAGACATGGTCATCAAGTCAATGCTGGATCGATTCAACGACGATGATGCCAGAGTCGTTGGAACGCTGTTAAATTTTCCTGTCAAGATATTAACGCGCTTATTCCCAGCGGACATTTTGACAGATAGACTAATGATTCTTCTCTCGCAATGTCACACCGAGAAGAAGAACGTTCTAGCTCAACCAGCAGTCAAGCTCCTCCTGGAACTCTGTGACGATGGGGATGACACCTGCGTTTTCATCGCCACTTTACCATACCTCTTCCCAAGCACGGAGAGTGAAACAAAAATTGCAATGCAAGTTCTCGATTCGGATTTTGCCAATAAAAATAAATACCTGAGTGTTGTCAAGAGGGATGTCGGACGAAAAGCTGATGCTGCATTGATTTGTTCAGCAGCATTCCACAACATCTTGAACAGAGAAATTCTACCACCGACCGAGAATATCCTAACAACGATGAAAACGTCGTACGATAATGACGCCACCTCATTATTCTTCAATTTAATTCTCCTTGGATCTGTCTGCCGAGTGCCTGTGGGCTCACTGCCATCGAACCTTGCCCTGGAGGTGATCGAAATGGCTGCCGAGATGATAAAAAAATATCCCAAAGTGGCGAGTTTACCTGATTGTAATCAACTCAATGGGGACAGAATCCACGACGGATTGAAGCTCACATCACGAGGGATTCTTCCACTTCAAGCTGTCACCTACGTCCTTGAGATGGTCCACAGACGTCTAGAGCTCAAGGCAAATAGGATTTTAGATTTTGAGGCAAATCCCCAGACGACAAAACTTGTCCTCCGCCTCGTGGAGATACTCCTCGATGGCATGGCATTCCCAAAACGACAGCCCCATTACTCCTGGTGTTTGAAGATCTTCTTTCAACGGCACTTCCCCACTGGTGAAGATATGCTTCGGTTTCTATCTGAATTCTTCATAAAACCAGTGAATGCACAAACCTCTCTCCATGCTCTGAATGTCACCTCGAAGGTTCTCGCTAAATGTGATTCTTTTCAATGGATATTTGGGGACAGAGTATTTCTCTCAAATTTTTTGATCGCTCTGTCGAGACATAATAAACAGTGTCGAGAAGCAGCTGTTGATATCCTCAAAAGACTGTCTCAAACATTCAATTTAGAAATGGAAGGCTGCTCCACATTGCTGTATGAACTCGCCAAGCGCTCGTCCGAAATCGCCATGGACCCTGACCAACTGTCACTGGTACTCTACACACTACTGTCCCCGGATCCAGACGTGAAAGCTCAATTGAAGAAGGACATTCGAGGGAAACTTGAGAAAGCCCAAGAATTTTTCTTCAGTATTATTTCCGATGAGAGCACACCAATTCATGTGACATCACAGCTGCTTGAAGTACTTGTTCACGTCAATGGTCCTGAGTTATTGAAAGAGCTGAGTGTCAAAGGGCTAGAATTGTTGGAGAAGCTCGAGAATAATCCCAAGAATACTGACCACAGCATGGCAATGGCGTTGAAGAATATCCTACAGAGATTCAACAGTACAACGGTTGGGGCCCTTGATGACAGGACAGTCTGGAAATTCTTTGAAGCAGCTATCACCAATCATCGATTACTCATTGCAACTGAGAATGAACAGTATACACCGAGTGTCATCCTCATCAAGCAGATTGATCATGTATTTTTTGAAAATGCTGGAAGAATGTCGCAGAATCTGCAGCGAAAAATTTTTGCTCTCTTTGTGGACATTGTTACCGATTGCGAAATTGGCAGTATTGTGGCGGTCGCCAACAGGACAGTCCGGAAAATAGTAGTCGATGCACATCTAGTTGTTGAGGAGCTCCAGCGAATGAGGGAAGCAAAATCCACCAAAGATGATGGTAACGATAAAAATAAATCAGGAGTTTCATCGAGGATGAAGAGACGCTCCAAGAATCTCGACATTTCTCAACGTCCTGAGGTGATCAACACACGAGAATGGAAACGTGGTATAACGATTCTCGAATTCATCCAGAAAGCTGTCAACATCAAGAATGAAAAGTTATTAATGCCTGTGCTATTTAATCTTTTGAGAATGTGTCTCAATTTTGAAGAGCAGAGTCCCTTGCAATACACGAATCAGTTGTTGCTTTCAAACATCCATAAACTGGCAACGATGAACATTCCAGTACCAGATCCCCACCTGCAGGTTGATCTCATCTCACAGTGCATCAGAACATCACACAATCCCCAAACTCATCATCACGCTCTTCTAGTTCTTGTTGAGCTTTTCAAGGTCGCTAATATTGACATAGCTCTCCACAACATCATGCCAATCTTCACGTTCATGGGAAGTTCAGTACTGAGACAGGACGACGCCTACTCCATACAAATAATTTCCAAGACAATCGAGACTATTGTACCGATAATAAATGCCGCTGACGATGAGACCCACGCGTGTGAGATTCTGAGGATTTTCATTGTGTCACTCGCTGATATACCGGAGCACAGAAGAATTCCCCTGTTTGTTAAACTCCTTCAGCTTCTAGAGAATCATCTCCACTTATTCTATCTTCTGACGTTCGAGTGTCATGTATTGGCACAGAATAATATTCTGCAGGACAAGAAAAACTCCTCACAAAGACTTGAATTCGCACTCACGATTTCACAGGAGTTTTTGCCGAAGACATTAGTTGGAGTTTGCATTGAGTTGGTTAAATTTATCAGGAGTCTTCCAGTCGAACTTGAGGAAGAGGCAAGCAAAAGAAATCTCTCGTTTCAAAAGAAACATATATTCGATGTTGCGCACAACACGCCGAAGCAGTTGAGACATTACAAATACACGACTGTGCAATTCTTAAATGCCCTGCTATCCTCTCCTGATTTCGTTGACAAAACTGCTCACTTAGATGCAGCTGAAACTGCAGCAACAAAGCCCTTGTATGATACACTTCTTGTCGAGCTTGTTTTGCTCATTGAAAGTGCATCGAAGAGCGCTGATCTCCATCAAGGAAAACTCAAGGGTAAATATTGGAAAGTCCTCCTTCACAATCTCTGTGATACCCTGGATGCCATCAATGCATTACTACCCAATGCTGTGTTCATCGCTAGTGTGAAGAAACTGATGAATCATCATCACGTAACAGTGAAAAGAAAATCACTCGAGCTACTGAATAATCGTCTGCAACAGAGGAAATTTAACGAGGAAGACTACGACGATCTATTAACTCTAGTCGGTTCACTTCTGGAGACTATATCTCTCCAGGGGAAAGTGTTAAATCAGGAGACGGAGGTCATTCAACAGACTGCTCTCATAACTCTCAAGCTGTTGGCGAAATTCTTAGCATCGGACAATCCCGAGAAATTCAAACCTGTCTTGGAAATTGCCATTGAATTCCTAAAGACCAAGGAAGGACCACTACTAGGCTCGATAGTTCTCTGCCTGGCAGAACTCTGTGGCACTATGAGGACTCACGTGATTCCATATCTCAGTAAGTTTTTCCCAGCAATATTGAAACTTTTGAAAACTCGTTGCTGTCAAGAATCGCCGGACGTTGTCACCATCAGCATCATCAGTGCGCTTCAAAAAATCGTGGAATCCATTGGAAATTTCTTGTCACTCTATTTGGAACAACTATTGCTGGAATTATGCAAGTTGAGTTCTCTTTACGCTGACAGTGATCACCCGAAGATTGGCATCATCGTCTCGAGACTGAAAATAATCCGACAAAAACTTGTCAGTTGTATTCGAATGAGGGTTTTGCTGCCTGCCGTTGAGAAAACTTATACAAGTCTTTTGAAATCCGAGAGTTATCAATGCATTCCGGTTCTGATGGCTATTCTAGCTGAATCCTTCGTGAATTTAACAAATTCAGACCTCCAGACTGCTATTCCCGATATCACAGCCTTCTTCTTGCGTGTTCTTCAATTCAGGGAAGATATCAACATTTCTGACGAAGACGAGAAGCAACAGGAAAATATTCAAAAAGCCATTACTAGTATTGAAGAGAGCGCTGGCAAGAGCTTAGTCTCACTGGTGCTGAAACTCAGTGAAGCGACTTTCAGACCGTTATATTATAAATTGTACGATTGGGCTGCGAGAAATTCCGATAAGAAATTGAGAAACATCACATTCTACAGATTGTCAGCCAACATCGCTGAATGTCTAAAATCATTGTTCATTCTGTTTGCCGGCCATTTTCTCAAACATGCGGCTGTTCTACTCCAACAGAACAATTTATCTATTGCAAATGAAGCAGCAGATAATACTCTGGAGAATGAAACTGACAGAATTGAATTGATTGAGAACATTCTCACCACGCTCCACAGAGTCTTCAGTTACGATGCCCATAATTTTGTCAATCAAGAAAAATTCGACATCTTGTCACAGCCGATTGTCGATTACATTGAATACACGGAAGGATCGAAGGAGAAGTTTGAGGAACGGTCGAGTCAGCTGGTGGTGCCTTGCATCGCTTCATTTGCCAGTGCCATTCAGGATGATTCACTCCACAAACAACTGGTTTACCAAGTTTTACTCAAGACAAGACATAACAAATCGCATGTGAGGAGTGCAGCCTTGAGTGCCTTGATTGAAATTGCAAGGAAACTGGGAGAGGATTTCATGCCTCTGCTGCCGGAGACTGTACCTTTCCTCGCTGAATTATTGGAAGATGAGGATGAGAATACGGAGAAGATTGCGCAAAACGCTGTGCGGACGCTTGAAGACATACTTGGGGAACCATTGCAGAAATATTTTTAGATTAATTCAAGTATATTTTATGAAAGCAGCGAGATTTAATTTATATATAGGAAAAAATCAACTTTGAAGAATAAAAGAGTGAAGAAGATTGTTTTTACATATAAAAAATGAGTTTTTTTAATAGTCCATCATATAATACACGTTATATTCTTTTTGTAATGTACATACAAAATATTTATACATGGCAATTGGAGAATGTTCATTCGATGGTAAAGCAACGACTCATGTATTCCTCTCACGACTGGGTAAGTAAAAATCATTTTTTTCTTGTATCATTATGTTGATAGATGCGCGGAAATTTTTGTAAATGCGATGAATTGTCTTTCGACTTATCGCAGGACGAATCCGTTTTGCATTCTCGTTAATGCAGTATTTTTGAATATTTTTTTTACAAGGAGTATTGCAACTCATCAGACTTCACTCGAGTTTTATAACCCCCATGTTTACACTTTATAGCCGTAGAACTTTCAAAGGAACTTGTCAATTCTGTATCGATACTAAATTTGCATAATTCGAGTCATTTTAATTGTTCATTCATCTCACTGCAATGAACCTTCGCAATAGGCCATTAAACTTCCATCTTTTTCATTCGACTTAGAGCTAAAATATATATTTGTATATTTGTTTGAAATCATGGTCAAACTTGTGGGACATCAGACAGCTCTCTCATCTCCTCTCGTTCACCTGCCGCTGGTATTTTTCTGTAAGGGAATGACAATACTTGGTGAGCCAATGCGAAGAAGAAATCACACAGTCGGCGTTTTCTTAGAATGGACAATTACCTTTTTCGGTACTGGAATATGAGATAAACGATAACGGCGTTGCCCACGAATAGTAACGCCATGAGGATCGTAGGTAATAATACATCTGCAACAGGGACAAAATACTACAGTCAACACATGACATTCAATGATAATTCAGTAATGAATGGATTCTTTGATAAATGATATCTTGTAGTTTCTTGGCTGTGCATGAAACGGAGTGACTCATCCACGAATGAATCTACCATGTGGCACGATGAACTCTGAACTTGTTTCACTCGAACTTTACACTTTTTTTGCATTCAGCGTGAGTAATGCAGACCAACGATCGCCAGCTGATATGGATTTTGTGCAAAGTTTTTTCACTATCTGGGGTAATCCATTGTTATTGATGCTATTGATAAGTTTTTTAAAGAATGTGAACAAAAAAGTCTCATGAATTCGGTCCAATTATATACATTCATACACATTGTGTTGAAATTGAGGCTCACAAGCCCTGTAAATGGGTTTCTAATATAAAAAAAACAGATGTATGTATATATTTGGGGTAATTATAAGCTTCAAAAAATGAAATTAATAATTATTTACTAACCTATCACGTAGTCGGTCTGTTTGATCATGGCTGGTGCTGCTGGGTCCATGTTGAATGTTGAGTCTGCGCTCTCCCCACGTCCTATTCTCACCCCTGTACCAGGTGTGTTGTCCCCTGAGAGGCTTGACAGCCGATTATTTTCCGATTCTGCCTTTAGAATCGTTGCAGAAGAAGCTGAAAAAATTGAGCACGGGATTATTCGACTTTTTCATTTGTCGATATCTAAAATTGAAATGAATGTGCTTCATCGCCATCGCAGAGGATAATATTGAATGAAGAAAATCAAAAGTACGATTTCATCAGAATGAATGTAACTTTCAACTCTCGTATTTCAAGTGCGTCTCTGATAAGAGTTCTCCGCAAGACTCGTATCATAGTTTCCAGAAATACAATACATGTACATACAGAATAGTAAGATTGTCAATGAAACTGAAGGAAAATGTTACGCGTGATGAACAAAATAATATCATCTTCGGTCGTTTCCAATTGCTCTCCGATATCACGCGTTCATCACGTTCGCATCATATTTATCCATATAGATGTTTATCTCTTACAGAGTAGTCAGCGCAAAATGTATCGGTTCTTTCTTCTCTCCGGAGTGATGACACTAGCGGTTTACTCGATCTTAACGTCATGGTCAAACAGCTATTTTTTCCGATAAACCCGCAATCTCTTCTTTTCCCCATCCGAAGGGAGTTTCGGAGTGCCTCTAGTATTATCTACTGATTACGAATCGAAATTGAAAAATTTCGAACAGCAATAGTCATCAATTGACACCTTACAAAAATATTGTCTCCAAAATACTATCTCATCAACTGCAAATGCAACTGATAGCAATATCTTCCAAGATAAGTTGGAGATTTTCCGAGTCATTACAATTTTAAATACCAGGAATGTGGCATAAAGCTCTTCACCAATATTTCAAACCAACGTTATGAAATAAAAAACCACTCACTGATGAGATTCCTGAAGGTGTCGGTGAATATTCGTATCATGATGGTGATATCTCTCTCGATAAACAATCGATAACACAGTTGAAAAAAAACCGTAGCCAAGGATTTGAAATCCTATCAACCGAGAGTTCTCCTTTTATTTATTTGTTTTCTCTTTCGTGAAGGCCCGCTGTCAGCTGTGAACATCCAGCAGCAGCAGCATCACGTCTTCCTCGCACGCGTGGTATCAACTAAACTGTAGCCAATTCTCTGTTTGTCTTTTCCCCTTCCCTTTTTACCTCCCGTCGAACGTCTGTTTCTTTACTACAGTTGAGTAAAATACTGTCCAAAGTCTCACTTCTTACTGCCTTATTCTTCGTCACTTGACTCTTCTTTTATTCCCCTATCTAAATTTATTTCAACTGGTGTAGTACACTAGATGCAACATCGAATTCCAGTGTTAGTAGAGCTTCAAGCATTCCTCTTATCCATAAAAAACTCATTAAAATTCTGAGTGTTTCATAGCTAATGGCACTATGCATACACTCGAGAGTTAATTTTTGAATAGTACTGAAGAATGTGGGTTGAAGCACTACCGGATATCAGATCTCCGAGCACTCCAATTCAAGCACAATACTCTGGGTTATGAGGTCAAAGGTTGGCAAGTTAAAAATTTAACATCATCACCATACCGAGAGACATCCAATGCGTTACTGGGTTTCTCTACCAGTGGTCTTATGGTCTTATTGAAATCTGGTGTTGAGTGGCGTGATCCGCTCTTTCCACTGGGTTATCATCTTGTATTGACATTAAATAATGACCCTTTGAACTCAAGTTTATCATTATTCCATAAATCTTATTCAATGTTTGCTATCTCATTCGATCAAGGAAATGTGGGCCCGCTGGTTTTTCATTCACGAGAACTCATTCCTCTTACGCAACGATAAAAATGTATTTCGATGATTTATCGTAAATTGTGGAGAGAAGATGTTACTGCCATACCAGTGGCATATCATCGGGTTCATTTGCCGACCGACAATATGCATAGATAGGCTCCTTTCAATGCATCAAGACAAGAACGAGCCCATTGTTATGACCATTGTTATCTGTTTCTTTCCGTTCATCTTACAACAGTTTCATTGATAGTTTGTTCATCGATCGAATTTCAGTGAATTTCACGCGGTGTAAGCATGAAGAATGAACAATATAAATGAAAGAATCGTGGGAATCAATTGCTGAGTACGTCAAATGACGGAGAGGTAATATAGATGGGTTTGTGTACATTCGTACTGCTAATATTTCGCCCACTCACCTGCCTAAACTGCTTTTTTTCCTAAAGATATTTTAACGCCGTATGCACACGTGCTACTCCAGTCGAATTGTCGCGACTGTACTGGCTTGACTGGCTTGGCTCGGCAAACAAGAAAGTTTCACGTGGAAACAGGGAACAGAACGCATTCATCGTATATATCTATCTACTCCCCTACTCACGCGCGCACAACTTTGCCCACTTTCTCCCACTACACTCTGCTTTGCGCCCAGTGACTCGTCACTCGTCATTTGTGTGAGGGTCTCTCGCCCCCTTCAAAAAAGGTCGCTCTCCGTTCAGTTCTCAGGGCCGTAGGAATGAAAGCCACACGCGTATTTTTGAAGTCATTTTTTTTTGTGGAAATCGCAAACTTTTGAGGGTGTCATTCGTCTTTGATAAGAAATAATGAAAAAAAACTTTTTTTCCAGTGGTAGAGAAAATTATATTAATTCATCCGATAAAATTGTTAAACCATCGACCGGAACTACATATCGAGAAAATAAATACGGAAAATGCTATGTGGCGCGCGACGAACGTCGAGAAAGCATGCGATTGACTGGGGGGGGGGACTGAAATATCTGTTATTCACCCCGCTATCCCATTCTTTCCCGCCGCCATCACATTTAGCACATCATTCCTCATATCTCCAAATTTTTTCAACCCCTGGGGGTGTTTGTTGCATTAAATCATAACTCCATAAAAGCCACTGTGTAAAGCTCATTTTTTATTTAATTTCTCGATACCTATAAGTCCTACAATTTTGAAATTGCACCAATGTTTACCCTGTATCTGATACTATTAATGAAAAAAATGCAATTTTTCTATTTTTCTTACCAACGCAATTTGGTAAATGCTCGATGCTCTCGTTCCAATGCCCTCGATTACATTTTACCGTCTTCGTGGGCATCTTTGTGTCTGGAAAAATGTTGCCGGTGTGACATTGGAAGGTCCTCATTTCGGCAGTATCATTCGCAACGAAACTTCCATTAGGCGCCAGGGTCTCGGGGCATCCAACAGCTGTAACGAATTTACAACGTGACATGACAAAAAGTAAAAAATGATTCATCATGCGCTTCATTACCTTCGTATTGCAATAGAAATCCCCGTGCGGGGTAGAGCCTGGATGATGATATGAGATCCAAAGTCACCTGATTGGAATTCGACACAATTCGAGTGCCGATGCGGGTGCCACATGACTCGAATATCGTATTTCCACTGTCTTGAATTCGGATGAGATCGGCGCAGTTGCCATCAGACTCAGGGCCTTAAATACGATACGAATGTTGTAGTCTGATCAAGTTAATTATTCATTAGGATCTATTTGCATTAATGAGATACAATTGCCTTACTGCGAATGTTGAAGTCATGAAAGTGGAGTAAAACTTTTTGGCCTGGGACGGTTTTGAAGGCCCAACCGCAGGAATATTCACCGGGATAGTAGAGAGGATAACCCGGCGATTTTATGTACCCAGCCTCACCGTGGTTTATCCTCACTTCTGTGTTGCAGTATCGTCGTACTGCATCTTCTGTCAGAAAAAGTCAATAGTGAATTCAATAGATTTACCTTTTTCTACACATCTTTTTCAATTGAAACCATTGAAACATTCTGTATAGAAATTCCTAAAAACTAAAAATAGATAGTTCAACTGAATTTTATAGCGAATTCACTGGGAATTGGATGAAAAAGAGGGGTAGATAATAATGACACAAAAACGAAAGAGAAAAAAGAATTGAAAGATCAAAAAATTAAACTCATCGAAGAGCAAAACAAATAGCTTCATATTTGTTCTAACAATGACAAATTGGCGAACAACCGACGCTACACCGCACTCTATTTATTCTTTCGGGAACAGATGTCCAAGGTCATAAAATTAGGGGTAGTCAAAGTAATTTATAGTATCTATTACCGGGTATGCAGGCATATTTGAGCTGCAGATCAGCAGTTGGCCAATCAACTCCCCCTGGATGATCCTCAGCAACCGTGAATCGGCAGTGGTGGTGGCCGGAACATCTACACAGAAATTCAGGGGACAATCAATTCGCTGTCGTTACGGAGAAATAATACGATCCTTGCTGAAATATATTTTCAATGACTCGTATTTGCATATTCAGGTCGGCTTGCAGTGTGTATATTTTATCAAAAAAGAAAGTCTACCGGGAATGTAATTACAATGCTCACCCTCAAGTAATACAGGAAGGGTGAATCGTGCGATTGAAGCGGCAGAGACTACGTTCACCCCTTCGATGCGATGGCAGAAGTGGATAAAATGAAAGGGAATAGAGTGAGGGGGGTGCCAAATAGCGGGAAGTGGAAAGAGACTGGGGTGTTATGCGACAAATATGAATTTCTAGGCGTTGCGAGTGCGTGCGTTAGACAGAAACAGATGCCAGGGTTGGCTGTTGACAGTGCAATTACTCAAGAAATATGTCGTGAGATGCGATAAAATTATCATTCGCCGATGGATCATATACTGAGGGTATTAACTTGGCCGTTTGTCCGAAATCCATTGTTCATTTCAAGAATTCGAAGGGGACATAAGCGTTAGAGCTCTCAGACTCTATATCTTCATTAACTAACTTATTGTTCTCAATCGGCAGAAGAATGTTCCACGCTTCTGCTGCCGCAGGAGCAATGAATTCGATCTCCGATAGACTCTTTTGTGAGATCGCCCTTTAGGTAAATATCCTCGATTCCCGATCTCTCTCACCCTCCCCTTCTCAACTACACATCTGTGTTTCTTCCCATTCTTCGTATACTATTAGATATTTTATATAGTACAGCTCCAAACGGGGAAATTTTTTCGATGAAAGCTACATCTGTATCGGAGGGAAATAATATAAGCTACGAATTGTACAAATAATACGCAAAAATCGTGCTGTACTACTGTATGCCCTTCATGCAGATACCTAATACATCACTCGTGTCTACACTTTCGTGGTTACCACTGGGTAAAAGTCACCTCTCGGGTTTCCCCAGTTGGATTTTCATTTGAAGTGAAGGACACCGATAATTAAAATAAGATTATGATCGCACTGTTCAAGTAAATCAGTACAGCACAGGTCATATTGAGAGGCCATGGAAGCTATCGAGAACAAACTAAACGGATTTCAATTATTTTTGTACCCATTCGTTTTTTTTTATCATGAACCAGTGGCCGATAATCTCAATTACCGGAAAAAAAGAAGAATGAGCACGAAAACAATTGGAATTCGTTTTGTTTCGGGCCCATAAAAATACGGAAAAATAGCGTTTGACTTACTTTCTATTGAAAGATTTCCGGAGATCTACTACTGGACCACTCTCGTCATCCTCATCTTTAATGTAGTTACCCCTGAGTTCAATAGTTACAGTTTTACGTATCCTTGAGTTATAGTCGTACCACTCAGCCGCACGTTTATAGGCTTTCACTGAATGTTCACATGCGTTTGTAGTCTTCCGATGGTACTCTGCCTGGAGAACAAAGATGAAAGCTCGAAGCGAGCGACAGGTAAGTCGCAGTAGGGCATTTGAACACACCTCCTCTTCCACAATTTCCATATAACCACCAGTCAGTTTCACTGCCTTTAAAGTCCTCGATGTCTTCCCAGTAGTTGTATTTATATGCATAAAAATCGCGAACACTAACGATATCCCTGTTAGCCATCTGGACGATTGCATTTTTAATAGTTTTCAACATTACATCAATATCAGATTACGACGGCCACTTGTTTATCAATGCTGATTACTGTTTCTGATCTCATGAGAGACCACTTGAAACCTCTGGAGAGTCAGGTATTAGGTCCTTGAGGCTTGAGAGACGACTGGAAATAAACCTATATCGATATGACTCCCGGAATTTCCAAGTATTTCAATTGGACTATTAAATTTAGAACTGGTGGAATGAAAAAGTTCACGATCTTCTCGATTCACCATAATTTTTCTGGACTCTCTTCCAGAAAAAGAATCAGCGTTTTGAGTTGGCGATTCGAGAAGAGTGTATGACCTCATTGTTTCGAATTAGTACGTTTTTTTGGTCCCGTGCCAATGTGAAAATTGAGCATTTTCTTCTCTTCTTCTTCTCAAGGACTCTGATGTAATTCCACAGAGAATCACTTACAGGTGGATACACATTGTGATGTATGCAGACAGATACTTTCAAGGTTCCGTATAATGGATGTACTATTTCCAGAAAGTTTGCCGGTAACTTTTCAGCAAGTTCATTTCTATTAAAAACACTCGCGAAGAATACTGTTTACATAAACTATGAAGAACTAACATTCCGGGTGGGATTACATGTAAACAGACCGGCTTCGTATGACTTATTGCGGCTGCCACTCTATTATTCCGCGTTTTTATGCCAATTGTCCATTGAGAGACGAATCCGGTTTTATCGAAACTAATGCAATTCCAATTTAAAAGTTCACTCGAGCTTTCAAAATTGAAGTAAGTAAATAAACAAACAAACAAACACATCAATACATCGCATGAATGAAAAATTGAATGCAACAACAGGAGCGCTCCGTTTGCCAGTCGGACGCCAAGTGTCAGGCGATTCACGTATGGACTGGTTGGCAGCCAGCAGAACCCCTGCAGAAAACTACACTAAATCTAAACTCTGGGAGTAGAGAGACCCCAGTGGTTAGCCACGTGCGGAGCAAATTCAAGCGTGTATAGGCGGAATGCGCAATCGGTACCTACCAACCCCCATTGTCGCCCGAGGGTGGTCACCAACAGACAAAGGGTATGTATGCTCAAAGTTTAAAACGTAAAACAATCGGGTTTATTACTCTCCATCCTTGATTTCTCGTCACAATGAGATGAATTTCTGATTCTCATCATAACCAAAAAAATCAAAGATGCGTGGAATTAAGTGGCGGATATTTCAGACTAGATAAACAAATCGTGTGTGATGAAAGAGTTTTGCTAGAGTATGGGCATTCCTCCAACAACTCTATTTCCGCGGTAATTAATAATTCTTCGAGGCATCCAGTAATTTTACTCGGAATTTTTCTGCGAGATGATTTCTTGTTCATTGTTTTGGTCTTGGAATTTTTTTTGTGATTAACCGCATTCGTTCTTTCTTCGGCTCACGATCGAACGCGTGTCCGTGCACATGGTTCACATTGTTACGAAAATTCTGGGTTCTCGCTATTGTCGAGGTTGTTCTATAGGTACGATTCACTTCCCCCCAGGATTCTATGAGTCGAAGGGTCCGGGGGGAGGAGAGATCGTCACGGGGCTTTTCACGGGAGCACGTGCGTATATAACATCTGCGCGGCACTAGAGATAGCGCCAGGAAGCGATACATTTCGGCCTCACTCAACTGGCAACAAATGATCCGTCGTCAATTTATTTTGATACGTGTGGACATACAAATGAGCTGAGGTGCATTTAGAGCTGATAGCATTTTTTCGGCGGAAGTAAACGGAACATGTGGACAACATTTCACGCCCTGTTGGCTTTTAAGTATATTTACTCCATCGCGGTAAATAAGTATTGAATGATTTTCGGAGGGGGTCGAGACAGGGACAGACAGGAACAGGTCGGAGGGAAATGAAGAAATTTTTCGCTTAATAATAATAGTTATTATTTTTATTAAACTATATCTCACATATTATTATATACATCGCAATATGTATAATAGTAATTATGTATACTGTGTACACTATTTACTTCACAATTTCCATATTTCTCTGTCATAGTTTCATAACTTACTTTTTATTTCTCTCGTATTTATTTAGATTGTTTTTGGTGTTAACATTTATTACTTTGTCAGTTATATAGTGCCAATCGCAAATTTCATCTTCTCACAATGAATGATAATTTTAATTACCTACAGTATACATCCCACATGGCACACAGCATAATACGTCTTATATGTTGGATTTCCTTTAGGAAATTCCATACGCCGAGGGTTTTCATTCTTTTGTTTGTATATTTCCATTAGAGCTTTCCTCATGATCATTTCGCTAGATTTAAAAAAAATTACTCATTGTCGTTGGATTTTCAACACACTTGTCTCCTTTTTCTTCCCTCATGTTGCAATGATGCTCGGTTGAATGTGCATTTTGTTAATTCGGTTGACAGTGAAGACTTGAGCGTCCGAAATGTATACGGAATTTGGGAAATGTATTCCTTTTTCATTAGGATGGTAAAACCATTCCAAAAACAATTGTTTTCACTACAATTCGCATAATATACTACTCATAAATGTGACGTTTTATTTAATTAAAGAAAAAGAACCACAAAGACATGAATATCTTCTGATGAGTAAATCGCGACCATTGAATTTTGGAAACATTTGAGCCTCCAGATTATTTTTCTTTACATCAAGTCATGTAATTAAATCTATTTATCCCTCAATGATATCACTATTTATACACACTAGATTGTTCTGAGCAATTGAGATCTATTTGGAGGGACTCACCGTTGAATTCTTGATAGCAATATTTAATTGAGAGATCATTATAACATCCTATCCCACGAGGTGATGGATATTTTCGTTATTCGTTCGTGTTTTCAAATAGCACTTTTCGTTTTTAAATCTCCCCACTTCAGATTTTTAAAATTTTTCGGGTTAATACAATCATCGACACGTACTATTATCTGAGGGATAAAATTGACATATGTTTCGTGACTTTCCTAATTTTATGACACGGCGCTGTGACACTCTTACTCGTGATTCTTGTCCACATTGATTGAATGTCTAAGAAGAATTAGCTCGATATTTTTTTGTGAATCATCGAATGAAATTCTCAATGAATTATATATTCTCCGACTTCATATTTTTTTTTCACAATACAAAACAATTTTACTCTAATTTGTATATATCATCTTTACGTTTAAAGTTCATCTTTATGGTTTATCTCTATACGAATGTGTTTATCCGATTTATTTTCTTTTTTTTTTTGATGTATTGCTTTTGATAGTAATCGAGTGATGAGATCAAATTATTAAAAAACACGATGACATTCCTAGTAGAAAAATTGACTTATTGCAATTCAGTCCACCATTGTTACCTGTATGCACTGGACGTCAGCAGCTCCACTTTGGAAGGTCATTATTATACTGTTACTAACGATAATGCTAAACATAAGGAACCTTTCGATTAATTATTCATTTTTTTTTTGTTTCAATGACTCAGTCAGTTATAGAGAAATATACTTGGTACTGATAATAAATGCAAGTATTCAAATTTCGTAGTAATAATTTGGTAAATAACTATACTATCAATTATCTCGATAGTAGAACGTCCACAGTTTGTTGAGAGCTTAAGGAAATAACGTGACGAGTATACGGCGTTCATTCGGTAATCGGGGATGAGAACGCTCGGTAATATCGTCGGAATGGGTCTTCGGGCATTAGTGAAATGCATTCGATTAGGCCGAACGAATTCCCTTGTAATGATTATTCCAATAGTGAGATGATATTTTGACATTAAAATGATAATAAAAGTAAGATAAAAACCTATTATTACGAGCTAATCTTGACTTTATAGTCTTTTTTTCTCAGTTCGTTAAATTGAGCTTGAATGGAATAAAAATGAAGTAAAAACCCATACGTATATTAGCCACACACACATGCATTATTATCGGTATGGAACCAAATTATGAACGGAACTCATAGTCTGGTGGGGGATGGAGCGGTCCTTAATGCAGTTTTTTTTTATCTGAAGTACTTGAGCCCCGAGACGAGGAGGAATTTTTCTATGAAAAGTTCAGAATCTAATACAGCTATATGTGCAGCACGACCGATGAGAGAATTTGCTGTAGCTTGTAACGCATGATGAACGTCATAACGTACTAAAGTTACACCTGAAGTCGACATTACTGGATAAAGAATATTGTGCACCATCTCTCTGTAGGCTGCACCTGCAAAAATTTACATTCGCTAATGGATTTTATATTGTTATCGAGGCATCACGTAGATTGTGAACAGGGAGGGATTTTTTTTTTAATGCTGCCTATCCCCTTTCTGCTCTTCTGAGTATATTACCAAAGTGGTCATTCATCTATTTACTAATCGTGCTCAACGCGTTGTCGCCAGTTTATACGACTGGAAAAGGTACACACCCGAATGAATGCACTCGAATTCAATTTACATTGATTGAGTTAGTGATTGGGTAATGGATATTATACCTTGATCAGTTGGATCACGAACCGCAGCTTTACAGAGTTCAATACGCGCCGAGTGAAGGGGCACATAACGATCTTGAGCACTGCCACAGAGAAGTACATGTTTGAATCGCTGGAGATTACTTCGTTGACTCAAACGAAACATGAATGATCGTCGCACGTCTGACGAATCTTTCATTGATAGTTGCAAGAGTGAGCCGGATTTTTTCCATTTTTGCATAAACCACATGCCTGATGAAATTCATAAGGATCAATGGGATTGAAAATTCAATGAATGGCAAGATTAAATTGAAAAATAGTTACCGGCATTGACGAGGCCGCTGGTATTGTACAGCGTACCAAGATGTGGTCCACTTAAACTTAGGAATGTATGAAGTCTTGGCAAAAGAGGCCGAAGTTGTGGCCTTGTCAGAGCACTACGAATTATAATGGTCCCAAGGGAATGGCCAATAAAACTGACTTTGGTTGGATTCAGTCCTGAGGTTTCTATGTGATGTAAAATTTCCTCAACTAATCGATCGGTCATAGTGTCAAAATCAGAGAAGGTATCGCCCTTAAGTTGATGAAAAACAAAAAAGGTTGATAATTTTATGAAAAAATACATTATAAAGAGTTGAAATTACCTGATTTCTCTCTGACATTAGAAAATCTAGATGGGCTCCGGACAAGCCAAGTTCAAGGTATGTCTTGACAAGTCGAAGATCTGCGGCATTACCATCGAGACCATGCACGCAGACGATGAGATGAGAGCCTTCGGGTGAAAATAGTCTATACTCGTCGCTTATGTAAAAATAAGGTAGGCTCGATGCAAGAACTGGATAATCGCTGCGTGCAACGTGAAAAAACCTCATATTCAATTAACGATGTACCCAATTAATCGGTTGATTACATACTATTGCTTAGATTAACGTGAAGATTCTATAATAACACACCTGTACATTTTACCAGAAAAATTAATCCGTTCCTTGAAGTCTTCTTTAAGCTTATTGAAATTAATGACATCGTCCTGTGTTGATTGTAAGAGTTCTTTTCCCTCTTGATAACAGTCGAAACAAAAATCACGTGCACCGTAAATGCTCTCCCGTTCTCCTCTTTCAACTCTGTCTCGGTTTCTCTGGGGACTGCACGGCGCGGTTTTGTTCTGCTTTGGACTTTTTGCTTTCTTCACACTTTCGTATACGTGATAGAGTGGATTGTCAATCATGGGAATTGGTGCTGGATCCCTGAAGGCTTCCGGTGGTGGTGGCTCATCCTGAAACATCTTGGGTGGTGGTAGACGAACTTCCTCGTAACAGTGGCTCTCTAATTTTAAATTCTTGGATTTCCTTCCTTTTCGATCTTTTCGCGATGTTATTTTCATTTGTCGTGATTTCGTCTGCTCACCTATCGCAATACCAGTGCGTTTGTGTTCGGAGCTTGAAGTATCTCCACTACTCACCCAGCCTGAACACTCTGACGTTAAATTTCCCGAATCTGTGCTGGTGGCGGGACTGCTTGGTCTCGACGATGTTGGACTTATTGGAGCCATTGTGATGAGCTCACAACCAAGTGTATCTTTACTATCTCTGATTGGCATACATGGTAATGAAACAGCACTTCTCGGCACTACCATCTTATTTTGAGCAACTGGCACACTTGCACATCGCAATCTCTTCGCATTCGGCAGGGGTTCACCACAATTAGATTCATCCGGTCGATTGCCCTGACCTGGCAAAATATCACTCCTCTCCGGTGATTCAATTTTCAATATGATTTTGTTATTATTTTCTACTTCAACAACACTCATGGGAATCGCTGGATTTTGGGATAATCTGTGGTTTGGAAGTAGTCCCACGGTGGCATTATCGTACGGTGGAGCAAGTTTTTTCGAACGATGGCAACAGCGTTTGATACTTTGACCTTCGACTCTCGATAATTCACTGTCTATCGCGGGAGCTGAGTGCGGTCGTCTTCCTCTCTTTCCCTCTTCCGTTTTTGGTTCTACCTTGGGGGGAATTACCTCGTACAGGGATTCCCTCGGTAAATTTGATACTCTTTTCTCCGGCCTCGGAGCATTTCGCGATCTCACGTGATCCTTTCTCTCATAAAAATCCCGGGGATCCTGACAGCAATCAATTCCGTGATCAATATCGAAGAGCCTTTCAGTACTCTTGGGGCGTTTCGGTCGGTTCTCTTGACCTTTGGCACTTGTTCCATTTGTTCGATAAAAGTAGGAATCAACGATAAAATCAGTGCATCCCTTGCCAAATCTTTTATTCAGAGGATCTACGACAAGTGAGTGACTTCTGACATCCTCACTATTGCCATTGGGCATTTCAAACAGAGCCTTTGCTCGTATACGCTCCACATGATTTTCCGAAGATTTTCCTAATGTGTGATAACGCCTCCCCTCTAAATCATTAATCTGACATTTAGTTTCAGCTGTTGGACACGTTGATTGCACGTGCTTCCGTGAATTGCCACGATAAGTCGCACGATCCAATGTCGCCGTTCGGAGAGATTGGACTTCGGCATTTCCATTGGTAATATTTTTCGGAAGCAGTGTAGCCAATCTATGGCTACGAGGCTCCACTCGCATTCGCTGGCCACTGTCAGTTTTCTCATTCAAACAGCCGGTCAATTGATTGAAATCAAAGGCTCCTACATAAGTCGTCACACCGCTCATCTTTTTCGACGGTCTATAGCCGGGGAGATAACTATTGGGCGGCAATTCGGGGAACATAGCAGCTAGAAGTGAAGTTATTGAATTCGATGGCGCATCTACGTCTGAGTCTAAATCATGCTGCTCACGACAAGAGTTGGGGACAAGAAGTTGACTCGATTTAGCGCGTGGTAAAGTGGATATTGGTGTGGAGCCTAAAGGATTAAATGTCTTGAATTAGTTCCATTTAAAAAATTTTCAAAATCAGACATTCCATCTGCCATGGAATAAAATAAAGTAATAGTGGTATTACTACCTAGCGAGGGATTGGGTGCTGAGCAGGCCTGATGTTGACCGAAGGTGGGATAAAGGGTTGTACTTTGTGCAGAATGAAGTGGCATCTGCGATCTTGATCGACCTTTGCATGGCACTGACGTAGGTAATGTGGTATTTCTCCCTCCGTGCTTTGGAAATAACTGCGTGGATATGGATCGTGGCAGTGTTTTAGGAGATGTCCTCTGTTGCTGCATCGGCGGAATCTCCGGCCCCAACTGATCTAGAGACTTACTATGCCGTGCGGGGAGGGTCGATGGAACTAAACTAAAACGAGCCTGAATTGCCCCAATGTCCTGGGCGGCCCCTTCGCTCCTTGGGGACCAGACACTCGCAGTTCGAGACTCTAAAATTTGAGATATTCCACAGCTACAGTCTTCCGCATTTGGAATACTGTTGCGATGCCTCTGCGTCATGTCTGCATACTGATCCTCGAAGATAATGGGCACCGTGTTGGCATCGCCATCCAGCTCAAGACAGTGAACCGGAAGTTGTGGCAAATGTTGGAGGTATGTAGATCGTCTTGCGGCATCGCTCACTGCTTGGTACGATTGGTAATTGGCATCGTAACAACCTGCAGCTGATGTCCTCGGATTCTCTAGGACGAAGAACGCCTCGGCAAAACGTTTCACCTGAATAGAAGAATAATAATCAACCTTAATACTTTGAGGGGTCTCGAGAGAAATTTAAACGGCATCTCGCAATTATATTTACACGCAGTTGATGATGTATTCGCGCAAGATGCTGATGAATTGCCTCTCGTTTCGTAAAAGTCTCGAGAAAAATGTGCCACAGGACTATGTTTTGGGCGCACAACTGGGCAATATCCACTTCTTCCGAATCACTCATCTATAAATAACATTTATAATTATTGAATTTCATCAACTATAGGGAATTTAATTAATTTTCGTGGTGCGCAATTACCCTTGGAGGTTCTTTGTGCTTTCTCTCAGCTATCGAACTGTCGAGGTCTCGTTGTTCCCACGATGGTAGCAGCCTCGCAAGATCTCCTATGTCATTGAGGAGATTCTCTCTAGCGGCCAACAGAAGTCTCACTACTTCGCGTTGTATAAGTTTTGCGTTTTGAATTCTCGTTGCCGAACCCACGCATTTTGTTGTTGCTTCCTGTAGTCGTGTAGAGAGTTATAGACATGACTTTGGATTATATCTACTTCGTTATTTATTAATATTAAAGAAAATTACAGTATTTGGAAATGTACTGCTCGTTCCATTCGCAGGCGATGCCTGCTTCGACTGCAGCCATTGTTTTCCACTCCGTGGAGCACTAGAATTGGAGAAACATTACCACTATTTGTTCTCCACCCATTTGTTTTTTGTACCGAGTACTTACCAACTCTGAACGTAGTGAAGTATGCTCTTCCTGATGACAATAAAATATAAATATATTTGTGAAAAATAAAGTCATTGAGATACTCACTTTACGAATGGTTGATGGAGAGCAACTAAGCAGACATGTATCGTCATTGACACTGCAGCAAGATGAAAATAATCGAATAGCACTGGTAAATGATAGTGGAGACCTTTTGTCGGTGTGAAATTCAACTGCAATGCTCTTGAAAAAAAAAAAATATTCACAATTTATGCAGAGATGTGTGTGATGGGGAGAAGGCATTCTGGCTTATCTACTCACCTGGATGATACACAGGCCATATTCCCTGGCTGAGTGGGCTCGCTAAACCACAGTTCTATACCGAGATGAAAGTGGGTACGCGACAGTATTTCCTCAATTTTATGGCTATGAACCAATACATGCGCTCGAAACAATACCGATGTGCCCAGCGTGATCTCCTCATTTCGATACAGTATTTGGAAACGCTTGCTGCTACCTGGCATTTCCATACTGTCTAATGAACGTTTTTCTAATTTTCAGGATAAATTATACATAAGCTCTAAAAATTGCGCAACACAATGAAAAATATGGGACGAGTGAAACTTACGATTGCGAACTTGATCGACTTCCACTTTGATTGGCAGTTTTGGAGAGACCCGAAGCGACGTGCGTATCTGATAGTATCTGCAAGAATTCATGCAGTTTTGAAGAAATACCATCATTTATGCATTCCTTCTGTAAGCGGAGTGAATCTTACCCGCGTTGAAATAGATCGACATTGTAGAATTTACAGAGCTCGAGAGAGAACTCGAGAGTGGCTTGTAAATCACTCATCGCTCTATCCAAATTTTCAATGCATCCACCCGCCTCGTCCCTTTTACTTTACACCGTTGCGATATGTGTTGTCTAGTGTTTCTTGTCAGGTCGCTGATTACTGTGATTACTCATTTTCCCGTTATAATGCTTCTACCGTGTCTATTCATCACTGGGGAAGCATGAAATGCTGTATGGAGACGCATCTAGCACCTGGGAAATGTGAGACTGTGCCGTTGTTTTTACTAATGTGACGGCGACAACGACTCGCACCACTTGAGACTCTCGTCTTGCTATTCAAGACGTTCAAGGGCTTGCTCGATCGTTTCATCATGCAGGTCAACTGGCGGCGGATTTTTTTCACCTGAACAGTCATATTTTTTTTTTTTATTGAGTTAATCATATACTTGACATGTGCACGGATTGATGAACGGAATGATTTACCAGAGTAAAGCGCTCTCTATTCTAACACCGAAAGAAAATCTAGCGAGCGGTGCTCCCCGATATGTCAGCGGGTCTTCTTTATATTTAATCTAGCCGGGGTTAGTGACAAAGAGCGCGTGTCATATACTTTGAGCTAGCACGCGTCTCTCATCTCTCTCTCTCTCATCGTATCATCAACTTTAGGCCACTTTAGTACTCACTGGAACAAAGTAGGATACGCCAAGAGGTACTGTGAAGGTGGAGTTAGTTATACAACGACACTGAGAAAGTACCAAAAGTGAGAGAGAGAGAGAAAGAGAGAAAATGTGTATATACCCTAGCAAAAACACCTATTTCGTTTCATATACACATATAAGAAATACAGGCTTATTTCACTCTTCTCCTCTTGAAATACCCAACTAATCTGCCCCCGTATTGTTGGCTTTTTTTAGTTCCCTTCCTTAATTCCTCCTTCATGATGCTTATTTCTTTTTATTCGCAACCCACTCAGGTACAATTTCCACATGGCGAAGCGAACACAGTGACTACTTGTAGAAACCAAAAATAGATAACTGATAGGGAGGGGAAATTTGTTATTTCTAAGAATAGAAATTGCGTGTGGGCGGGATAAGGATAACGACCAGTGTATCATCAAGCTCCATTGAATATGTGATTTTGCGCATGCTACAAATGGTACACTAATCAGTTTAGCGGGAGGTGAGTACGAGAGGTTCAGGAGTAGATTGGAAAGTATAGTAGTGACTGTGTGTATTTGGTCGGACGTCTAGACATTCATATCCGTTGCGGAAGAGGGTTTGCATGGGTTTTAAGCTGGATTAATGTATATAGCATCCTCACTGCTCATCGATCAGGCCTTCTCCCTGGTATCATCGACTAATGGTTGTGGCAACGTTTGCATTGGCAAATCATCAAAATCAGTGGAAATTGAATTTTAATGGTTTTCTCTCCTCATCTATAAGTAATACACTTATATTCTTATCCCATTGTTTGAGCGGCTACATTTAACGGTTTCAATCAACGAAGAAATCCCCTCGGAACATATTTTTCCGGCTTTGCGATGCACTCCGATGAAACTGCCATTTGTCAATTCTTCATCTGTAGAAATAAGCGGCGAAAAGAGAAGGTTGGTCAAATCGCGGTCATCCTCAGTGTTTCTTTTGTCTGATTCGTAGTATATATAAGGGTTTTTTTTCAGCCCTTTGTTGAGAAAGCATCAAAATGGGAACTGTACCTTTTAAGAATTATTTCCAGTGGTGAAATGAAAAAGGTAATTGTCCCTCGGGAATGGTTATTCCTCGCGGAATCTCACTATTTTTTGGGCCCACGCATTAGCCTTTTCACTTCACCATGACAGAGGAGTTGGGAAAGGGGAGAGTACGCCAAGTGGAAGAAGGGATGTTTCAAAAGCACAATACCCTTTTGCCCTGGAAAGGTCAAACTTTGCAGAGAATATAACCGGATATGATGAAGTTTGTCACTCATTACTAGTTTAACTTTCTTAAATTCGTTAGGTGTGGACTGCCAACTTTTCTACATTAATTAGTGCATAAAAGACACGGATTTACTTTACATCTAGCGAGATATTACATGTGACGCGGGTTTTATTAATTCAGCGTAGCATTCATTTTGATATCACCAACAATCTAAGAAATTTCATCATATACATTAGAATCCATGACCCAATTAACCTCTCGTAAACTCATCTACGATTAACGCGGCCGCTGCCCCCTCCCACTAACAACCCCCTGCTCTCATTCCAATATGACTCCACAAATTGGAACGTGCAGCTAGATTATGAAGATTCGAATTGCGTAAAATAGCTTGTCGACAGATAAGTCTCTTTTTTTTTTATTTCAAGAGAGATGTCGACTATTGAAACGTATCGCCAAATCAAACACCCTGCTTGAAAGCTAATGGAGGGAGGATATGACGTGTAGAAGCGCGGAAAGATTGAGAAGGGATTATGGGATTAAAGGGATTCAGGAAGACGTTATTCATCAGCACCTACTTCCTCCTCTTTTTATAACATGCGCTTGGAACTCTTTTCACTCTCCCGATCTTTTTAGATCGTTTCAAACTTTGTACATGAATAGAACTAGGTTTTAGAACAACAATAACGATCGTTCTGAAGGAGGACAGGCTCTCGATAGAATCACTTTGCTGAATGGGTTTTTTCCGTATTGAATGCAATCGACACGAAAACTGAAACTATTTCAGTAAGAAGAGATATTTTCCACAGAATTTCCTACAAGTCAACATTTTTATTCATTATAAAATTAAGATTACCTTGAACTTGATTATCAAATGAAAAAAGCGAATCTGTCAGAAAGAGTGTTAATCGATGACGAATCAAAAAAAAAAGAATATAAGGGGACAGAGAAAATGATGCCGGAAGGGCAAAAGCCCGATCGAAAGTTCGCCCCACCTCAGCATTGGATGTAGGGGTGAATTTTCCATCTCGCTTACGCTCCTTTCACGCACACGAAAACTCTCACTCGCGCTTGGCCCTTCGTTCCTTCTGAACCCCGGGCGTCACCGAAATTGCGTGCACACTTCAGCGCCAAGTCCAATGTTGTAAGATTCAATTATATTTTGGCATAATTCCGTGTGAACATTTCCTCATTTTCATTCCAACATGACAAGTCGGAAGTGATCTCGACACCTCGGAGAGGAGCATTTCATTTGACATTTATGGCAATTTTTTCATGAGGATGAAAATAAAAATCAACAAAAAAACTAAAACGCTAATTGTCGTGCATGGGGAGGGGCGTTAAAGCCTCTCGTGTGAATGAGTCATTTACCTCTCGCTATTAACCATTCTTCTGTAGAAAACTTGAAAAATCTTTTAATGCTGAGTCGCACTCAGCTGACGGATACTTCACCGCCGTGATCCATCGTCAGGCGGATCCTCTCCACTTGAATTCTCGTCTCCCTTTACCGTGAATTTTTCACTGCTCAACACTTTTTTTTTTCAACGAAAAATGGGGTAAACTCTTTTTCACTGTAACGTTTCTGTTTGAATGCCCTCAAACTTGAGTATTAAACGCGGAATAATCGATTCCACTCATCACTTATTTCTAGTGTCTACTGTGTCACTGAAACATGAGCTACGAGAAAAGGCATTGGCGAGAAAAAAAAATCATGTACAGAGGCGAGTAAACTGCCAATGGAAGTGAGATGTGACAACGGGTATTGCTGGGACACGAATAAAGCAGAATAAAATGTCTACAATCACACGCGAGTACGTTCGGAACTTGCTTCGGCGCACCAAATCGCTAAGGTGTGCGCCATAGCCAGTCAGTTTTCGCGCTTGCTCCTGCTTGCTCCATTCGGCTGAATCTACCCTCCTATCCCTTCATTAAGCATCGCATACACTCCGGACTGTCCACACAACTATTAATTCAATTGAATTGTTTTAACTGTCACGATCGAATAGCTGTCATCTTGCTTTAAATGCATCAATTTTATCATTGATGATGTGATGAAAGCAACACTCATGCGAAGCACGTTTACGCGTGACAGGGATGCATATGAAAAAACATGCCTTTCAGGGAAATCTGAGAGCCCATCATTGGAATCTCTGATTGTTCATTTGATTGAATAAACAATTTCATGTAGATATATATATTTATAGCTCCATACGCTACATTCGTGTTCTTTATCATAATTTGCTTGACATCGTTATTATTGAATCATAGTTTTTTCTTCTTCTTGTTCTTCTTGTCCCATTTGGAAACATGAGGAGCAGATAATAGATATATTGCACGGTCTTTCTTTTATTCTATTTTAACGTAAGTTTTATTCAACGAACGAGCAGACTGACCAGTTCACCAGCGATTACAATAATACTACTGATCATAATTTACATTTACACAAGAATCTCATATCGTATTCACTTTTTTTTCCATTTGTTTTTTTTTTCTCTCCTCTAGGTAGCCTTTTTCCTAATAATTTTTTCTTCTCCGAATATGCCCTGGATGACGTAGTTGTCTCCAGTCTAGCTTCTAGATTTGATAATCAAAGTAAACGGAATAAGTGGATGAAGAATGTTTGATATGAAAATTGTAAAAAAATATACAGATCACACGTTACACGCAATGTACAGATACAACGAAAAGAGAAAACATGTTGGGAGAATTAATTGAAGAATTAGATACCAAGATAGTTGTGACAGTTTACTTTGGTATTTTGTTATTTTATTTTACTTTTTGTTTCCAATTTTCGAAGGCAAGGGAACTTAGGAAAGATGGAAAACTGTCAAGTTTCGTTTGTGTTCAGAAGAGTAAATGATGCTGACATTTTTATCAATTTTATCAATATCAATAGATGAAAAAAAAGTCTATCGGCTTGGAGGATAATGCGTAATGACGCAAACAACAATATTGTTCTTTTGATTATTGTATAGTTAAAAAATATTGTAAATTATTGTTTCATTCGGTGGATTGGGTGAATTTCGGGGGGCCGTATTGCGGGGAAAGTTTCAGGATATACGTCGGCGACGACGTCTACGCCGTTGGCGACGATAAGTTCGGGCGTTATGGCGACGCACTGAGTTGAAGCGGTCCGCAAGTATCGTGCTCGAGCGGCCCACTCGGTGTCTTCATAAACTATCGTCGCTGTCATCGGCATGGGCTTCAATGCTGACTGTTCTCGCTAGACCACTACCTTCAACACTTACTTCTCCACTCGTCTCGGCTTCTTGCTCAATTGACACGTTTGCAGCTTGTGGATCATCTCCTGAAATAATCAAATTCTTTCATGTTTTTTTTTTCTTAATACTGCAAAAACACTTGCAGATTTCATTGCAATTATGCCATTTTCATACAATAGAAGTTTTCTTCAGTATAATGTTTTTTTTTAAAGAAACAAAAATGAGAATATCCTCAAGATTTAATTCATTTACCAGATTGAGCTGAGGGAGAATCTTCCTCACCCTGGCCAGGACTGAGGATAGCCTCTTTGATTTGACTATTGACTCCCTTTGGATCCAAATCGGTTGCCCAGCTGAAGTACATCAAAGCGAGATGGGTATTGCCTAATTTTTTATGAACCTGTGTAACAAAAAATTCGATAAACATACATTCGTTAGTGTCATTTCATTCTGAATAAATGAAATACTGATGACACTGTACTTTTCCTATTGAATAGTAGACTAGAGACTCTTTGGGTGCAATATTTTTCAGTTCTTCGAATTCTCTGAGTGCTTCAGTGTGTCGACCAATTGAAAAATTGATACTGGCCCGATGAAATTTGCATAGTGTATTGTCAGATGCGTTTTCAATTGCTTTATTCAATGTTTGTAGCGCTTTATCTGTCTTTTTTAATGCATGCTGGACCACACCAATATGACACATTATCGCTGAATGATGGGGGTTTATTAGCAGCGCACGTTTGAAATGCAATTCCGCCAGGCTGTACTGCTCTTGTTTGGAGAATATTGTGCCCAGTCCAAACCTAATGAATAGACAATTTAGAGAGAGTCATATACAATGTCAGAAAATTACTCCTGAAATATCAAATAGTAAAAAATCATTAAATTTCTCGCAACAACTAATTCACATGAACATTCTCCATATGATATTACTGAAAAATCTATTCATCTATTCACAATGAGTTTGATCAATTATCTCTTAACATAAAAAACTGATTTTTGGTGAACTCCAACGAACTATTTCATACTGAAGTAAATTCAAATGCAACTGTTATTTGAATGTAAAAAAAATTCCAACAGTGCAAATTGATTATTCTGAATAGAAAAACAACTCACCAGGCGTTATAGTGTCTAGGATCGAGTCTAATAGCATTTCTGAAGGCTGTTATGGCTTTGTCAAGTTCCTCAGTCAAAACGTATTCATGACCCAAAAGTGTATAAGCGTATGGAAAACTTGGATCTACTTGAATAGCACGTTGAAAGAACTTTATGGCAGTCTCATGCTCTGTTTGTGCTGAAAATAAGTTGCCAGTTGCACACCATGCAGCTGGAGAATTACGATCTTCAGCGACGAGTTCCTGTGCCAAAGTTGACAATTGAACTTCCAAGTGCAAGTGCCAGAGTACAGTACTATATATTTCCATTAGATCTGTTCGTTGGGGCTCCAGTTGCCTGACTTCTGCAAAGTAACTGCATTCAGGACAAAAAAAAAAAGAGTATTAATATCAGTGAATAAAATAAAATAACGATAAAAGCGTTTAATGGCAAATTGGATGTTACCTAGCTGCTTTCTTATAATCATTCATCTCAAAGTACGCCTTGGCCAGCATAGACAAGACCCAACCAGTATTGTGATGATGAGTAGGAAGTGCATTAAGTATCTCGACTGCTTGCACACAATTGAATTGACTCAAGTTCTGATAGGCCATCCCCAAATCACGTAAAAGCGACATAAGACCTTCAGCACATTGTTTCTGTACCAGGAGAGCACAATGAGATACATTACTTTGATTCAGTGCATTCGTCGTAGCTACCATCTTCTCCGAGGTTATCGTTTCATTTTTCTCCTTTTCACTCCTATTGCGTTCGTTAAGTTCATTGAAATTTGTTTTATTTAAATTAGTCTTTGATAAACGGGCTTTGGTCTTTCTGGATGGTGACTTGGGGGTTGCAAATTTATTTCTGTTTGGCGATTTGTTGTTCTCTTTGACGGAATAACTATTGCTGAGAAAGAGCCTCGAGGAACGTCGTACATTTGGGCCCTGAAGGGTTGGTGCTGCTGGAGTTGGAGTTGTTGGTGTAACAGTGACAATATTAGCTGTATTACTCGTATTCCCCGATTGCGAAAATACTGGCTTGCCTTGTTGCAGTGGAGTCTCCTTTCTCGACATTAATTGTCCAACATGGGCACGAAGGCTGCTAACACGTTTTGCCAGACTTTTCTGGTCGTTGGCTTCGGTAAGAGTCACGTGGGCCGGTAGAACATTGGGTTCAGGTGTGTTAGTCTCTAGAGGCAGTATTCCAAAGCTTGGGGTGAGAGGACTCATCGAATTACTGAACATACTTCTGTAACGGGGAGGTTTGCCGCGTGGTGATATCGTTGGTGGATTACTGTAGTTTATGGACACTAACTGTGGACTCTCTTCCATTCCTGAGTACAGTCTCATCGATGGGGATGTACCATTTACAATAACACCTTGTGCAGGAGTCATATTATTACTATTTTGAATTGGTGAATTGTTATTGGTATTTGGGACAATGAAATCGGGCTCAGAGATGTAGTTCAATTGATTTGTTCCATGACACATGGCAAAATTGTCGAGTTTATCCAGTTGGAATATTTTAGATGGATCCACTTTCTCTCCAACATTGCACAGTTCTTCAAATGAATGCCAGAGGAAGGGATTCAGCTTGAGTGCTAGCTTGTGGGCCTCAATGGCTTTGGCTGTTCTCATCATCTTGTAGTAAATTTTGGCAATTATTTGGAGGGAGAAGCATGCCTGATCCCCAAATTGCGTCACAATGTCCTCAAGATTTTTAATTTGTTTATAGTAACCACCGAGGATGGCTGCCTCGGCTTCGGCATACTTTTCCAGGTCAAAACAACATTTCGCCAGGAGAAATCTGCACTGAGATGAACTTGGTGCTTTTTTCGATAATAAACCGTGAGCCTGACGCACTCTTCCTGATCGGTAGTAACAGGTTGCTAAGAGGAAAAGTGTGTCCTCATTGTCCACTGCAAATCAATATCATAATTAGACATTATACAACATTGTCAATCGATATTTTTTCCTAATAACTCATTATTACCCTCAGCAAAGAGTCTCTCTGCCAGGAAGATGGCATCTGCATACGCATAATGATTCAGACAATGCCATATGGACGCCTGCAATTATTTTTATTGTTTGTTAATCATTAGTGATGGGGTGAAGGAATGATATAATTAAACATGCCCGTTTTTTCTTCGATAAGACTGCGAATTGATAGCAAGAAAATGCGAGCAACAACGTAACACACTTCTATCATACAGATTACTTGCTGTCAATAATGTTAGATGTTTCTCAATTATATTTTATATATTGTGCTTATGATTATTATGATTTTGCTTTCATGGCTAACCCAATAGGGTGTTATCATTGATGCGAGAACTGTCATTATACATACGAGAAAAAAATAATTTGATTGCAGATGGCAAATGTGTAATACTAGAGCTGTCAAGAAATTATTCGCAATCACTGGTTCGTATTACAAAATGGATTGATAGGGTAATATATTTTTGACTATGTGAAAAAATAGTCAGGATACGCAGGATACTGTGACGGGAGGTCAATGAGTGGAGGAAAATACACAGAGAAAGACGGAATTGGAGACGTTGATGACTTGAGTATTGATACACGACATGCAAGTTGAAATGCATTGAGCTAATCGTATTTCATTCGTCATCCTTGTCTCTCATCGATCCGTCGGATGTGTATTACTGGTTTGGCTACGGCTCACCTGAACGGGCTCCTGTACAATCATATTTTCCCAATTTCAGTCACACACATAAATATTAGTACAACAAAATGATATTGGTGGCCGATTTAATTCCAAATTGAATGGAAAATTGGTACACCGTCCTTATTTCACACGATATATTTTTCTCATACAAGGAATCAGTTCAAGAGGCCATCTTTGCTCTGTCCTTTTGAACTGCACAACTGTCTCTCGTGCGATGTGTGTGATGTGAAATCCAACGTAGAAGGGGAAAAATTTCTAGACACTAGGGTATTTCGTATCGAAAATGGGTGTATGGTAAAATGGAAATTCAAAGTACTAATATAATTATGCCTGTTAAAGACAATAATCATTTAGAAAAAATAAAAATATATTTAAATAAATGAAAATAACAAGATTGTATTGGATGCAAAACTGAACTGACTCTGCGATTTCGTCGAGAGTTAGGCAGGAGTAGACATAATCTTAGTTGAAGCGCGAGAGACTTCAAGTCCCGGTGTAAATGGCCCCATTTTCAGGTCAACTGATAGTACTAGGCCGGTATGTATCCAACATGCGTACAGGTCATCTCAATATCCATTCCTCGTGTGCCCCACTCCTAAAAGTCACAGATACTCTTTAGAAAAATATCCTACATAAACAATATACCAGATGTTTAACCAATCACATTCGATCATTTTTGAATCTGCGGCTGCTGTATTGCGATTGGTGGAAGAACCCAGTGCACACTAGTTTGACAATTCATAATGCTCCAACTTTTGTATAAAATATCCATCACTAGTTTGGAGTAGAATTATTATCTATTTGATTGAAAACTGAGAGACATGTTTCGCTGAGTGCATCACAGTCGATCGGAACTCCTGGATCATTCCCTCACAGCAAAGATTATTCACTAAAAGAATGATGGTATGAAAGTAGTGTCTTTAGCTTTTGATTAACCTCTGAACAATTCTAGAACTAGATTCTTGGATACAAAATTGAATTTTGCACAAAAAATATAGTTTGAGGTGCGATAGAATAATTAAGTATTATGCCATGTGTTTTATAAATAACAGTTGCTATTTGTTAATATTTGTTACTTTGAAAAAAGTACAATTCAGATCCTAGTTGCTAGACAAATAATAAATACAAGCAATTGAACTTTTTCGCCTTTCCATTTCTCACATTATGTTTTATTCCAGAGCCTGATGCTAAAAATAAATAAAAAACATTCGAGGAAATAACTGTATAAGGAACTGGAACATACATGCTCACTACCCTCTGGAATTTCAATTGCAGAGATGAGCAAATAAAATAATTTTTCTATTCATATTCAGTAGTGAAAATAGATTATCATGAGTCGACTTTTGAACTTGTATAGAAATCTTCTCAGTAAATATCCATTGCGGATGCAAGCTATCCAAGCAGGTAAGAGAAATAATTTATTTTCATGTACATCTGCTATTTTCCACTTGAAATTTTTTCATCAACAGGTGCGTTAATGGCTGTCGGTGATCAAATAGCCCAGAATTTCGTTGAAAAACGTAAATTTGAAGATATCGATTACATTCGTACTGCGAAATTCTATGCAATCGGATTTTGTATAGGTGTAAGTATCGCGAGATTCATCTGCTTGTAGCTGATGCAATGTTCGTTAGATATTACGAATTTAAATGAGACTCTGCGATATTATGAAAATCCAATTAATGGGATGCCTCTTGAAATTTCAGGGCCCCGCAACCTATACGTGGTATGGATTACTAGATAAACACATTGGTTCAAAAGGCGGTCTTGTAGCAATGAAAAAAGTTGCTTGCGATCAACTGTTGTTTGCGCCGTGTTTCATCGGTGTTCTCCTCAGTGCAGTTGGCTTCATGCAAGGCAACAATGTTAACAGTATTCGAGAGAAACTTCAGAGAGAATATTTAGAAATTCTGCGGAATAACTACAAGGTGCGTAGAACATGAATAAAATATTCCATATCTGTCTTTTGAACAAATAAAACTCACTTTCAGTATTCATTTTTTTATCTACTTTTAATTCCAGGTGTGGCCCATGGTACAAATGATGAATTTTGCTTTCGTACCACTGCAATATCAAGTTCTTGTTGTACAATCAGTCGCAGTTTTATGGAATTCTTATGTTTCTTACCGTACCAATAGAGATGTAGCTGATAATCCGCATTCATGAGAGTATTCTTATGAATGAAGAATTCAACTAGATGAAAGAGTGATTGATGTTGAATGATTGGTTGAACAGGGATGACTAAAAAAAGTAAATGAAAATTTTTTGATACTTTAATCTAGCCAATCATAATATAAATAGTGTTTGCACATAAAAATGTTTTTATATTGATTAATATCATATGTGTAGTAGTACACATGGAAACAATAATTATTTTCACTAAATGCAATCACAGAAAACACATTTTATCCTTTAAATCTATTGAACAACATTAATTTAATAACTGATTTAATCCTCGGTCAACATTTCTCAGCTTTTGCAATAGCAGCTGGTATTTTCTCTGTTGTTCTCGACTTTGTGCATGGTCCTAGTAATTCGGGGCACGGTTTTTCATTTGTTTGGATTTCGTAAACCCTTTTTAGTAGGTCATAGTTGATGCGGGGAGACACCACTGCATCTTTCCTGAAAACCGAGGACAATGTTAAAAATATATTGAATCCAATGACCATGAAAAATCTTGAGGTACCTAGGGAAATAATGCAGATATTCCGAACTTTGAGTCCTATATAACCAACTGCTAACGTATGCATTCAGTGCATCTTGTCTATTGTATTTCTGAATCGTCAACTCGGGTTAGGAGAGAAAATTTTTTATGCGCTTGCAATTTTGGATAAACATCCTTAATATCTTGATGAACTCACTTATATTCTGGATGGGATTCCACTTGTTTCCTCAGCCAAGCCGCAGTGGTTAAGAGTTCACCAGAAGCTCTTCTCTGTATGAGCTTCAAATATCGTTGAACTGTACAATGCGTATCAGCATCGACATTCATACTTGCAAGATATGAATTTACCAGCGGAATGAGGCCCACGAATACTCCTTCCTGTTAAAATTCATAAAACTCACGTTTTCTGTTTTGTTTTTCTATTTTTTTCTTTTTCAAGTACAGTGAAATGGAATGAGTTAACCGACCTTGCCATTGATAATTTCGTTGATAGTAAACTCAGCATATTCGTCTTCCAACTTCTGATCGTCCTTGACTTCAGACATGATGTCTTTTCTGAACCAAAATTTCTCAGTTCTAACGGCATCGCGTCTCTGCGCTTTAGCCATATTCTCGTCGACTTTGCTAATTGGAATTAATAGGTTCAAATTATAACTGAGTATGACCCTGGACAGAAGCACGACAAAACAGACAATTGCCGCATTCTCAAAGTCTGTTATTTGAACTTCACAGGGACGAAATTCAACTCGCCAGCCAATTGGCGAGTTGGGCGGTGGAGGCTTGAATCTCATTGTCTGCCAATTCGTCGATTGGATATTCTGAATAATTTTCAAACAAAGCGAACATTAATTTTAATTCACTGTTAGAAAAAAAGTTGAAATTTTAGGAAACCGTTTGGTAGCAATTTTCGAGAGAGTGACATTAAATTCAATTTAGGGAAAAAAGTTTTCATATACTCACTTCAAAATGATCAGTGTCTTCTTCATCGTTCTGATGAACTTTCTCGGAGAAAAGTGACACAGAATCTCTAATGAAAAGATGCGCCACGTGCTGTGCCAGAAGTCGATCGATACCATTCTCCAACAACTGATTGTAGATATCATCATCGTACGTCAATGGTACATCATTGTACTTGTCCCCTTGAGTACTCAAATAGGAATCAATGGAATCATAACGTGATTTAGTGATCCGGAATTTGTTCTCCTTCAGAGGCTTCAATCCGCGCTCTTCCTGGGTTCTACAATCAACGGAACAGGAAATAATATTCCATCGGCAATCAACGTCCGTCAAATATCCGCGATGTATTGGGCTGGCTGCGGTGAGTGCCAACTGTCGAGGGGTAAATCAATATTCTGTAAATGTACGTACGAAAAACCATATTCTAATTTTTTTCCTCCCAAATTATTCATCCATCATTCTCTCCAGTTGTAGAAGTGGTTTTTTATTACTGTGCATGATGTTGAAAATTTTTTACACATACCATGATTGGACAAAGTGGCGCGAGCTGATCATAGAGTGTCCGCGCTTCCTCGATATTGCAAGCCTGGAATGTGAGCTGCAGACAACAGCAGCCCATGCCAAATCCCATCGCATCCATATAAATATGATTATCTTTGGCTGCACTCTCGCTGCTGCCATCATCGCCCAATGCTTTCAGATCCTCTCTGAAGGGCTCGGCTACATTCTCATCTCTGAAAACTAAATTAAGTTTGTTCTGTAATGAAGAAAATTGTAAGACACATTGATCATTCATATAGTATAAGAGAATGAAGTGCAAACATTCTTTGCGTTTTTGTCGATTTCTATGAAAAAAATTAATTAATTTACCTCTAACACAAAATGTCTGATGGAAACAAATGAATAGGATTTTATTTTTTTATAAAATTGTTTTCTTTTCATTGTTTTTCCTCAAAATCTCCGGTGCATAAATCATCCAAGTTTTTTCTTCAATATTATAACGGCAAGACGAAATGAATACATTGAGTAAAGTTCCATAAAATTTATGTTGAAGAGAATTCCTCCAGGAAAAACATCAACAGAATAGATTGAATAGAATTTTAAAGCAATTCGCTTACTAGGGAGGTTTATCGCAACTTTTTCACCCCTGCGTTGCCGTATATTCCTGGTTAATGTTTTGAATCTAGGATGACCTGGGAATATCGCCTCGTCTGGGAAAAATAGGCTTCTCGAAGCTCCAGAGTCAGGAGTTGGCTTTGCGGGGGGATCAGTGGAATCTGGACAGCCCAATCTATGCAAAGAGGATCAATTAGTGTTTATTCTATAATTTTCAGCTTCGTAGAAGTACTTCATTTTTAATGTTGAACAAACGAAGAATGAAATATTACCTGGGAAAACTCGTTACTGACATTACGACTTCACCCGGCTTTAATTCATTCGTAACCTCTTGTCTTCGATATCGCATATTTGCTTCTACAACATTGAAGTGTGCTAACAAACCGCCATACGGTTTTCCTGGTGTTCCCTCGATCATGTATGCTCCATATTCTGGCCTCCACAGAGACTTGACTCCACTGAAACAAAAGTTGAGCTTTTTATTCCTCTTCGACAGTTAAGTTTTCCCTGAATAAAAAGTTTCTCATCTGTTTCAATACTTACTTGGGATCTTTCTGTTCTTTTTCATTAAGCGCAGTTAGAATTTCCGCGGCCCGGAGGCTTACTTTGGCCGTTTTCTTCTCGTCATCGAACTTTACCAAAATGTATTCAACCTGTTTCCCAGAAAATTAGTTTTTTTCATTAAATTAAATATATAAAACATTATTAATGAGCTCGGTTTTGTGTCGAGTTTATTAAATATTTTGAGATAATCGTTTTTTCATTGCCCAATATATCCAAGAGTAGAATAAAACAAAAAAAAATTATAAAAAGTCATTAATGAGCTCTGTTTAGTGAACGGTACATCAGATATTCCGACACATAATAGTTTTTTTATAATTGCATCACTATCGAATCACAATAATCTATATCTACAAATACAATCTACGAGTGGAATGGGAGAGAAATTCAAGGACGTGACTTAGCAATTAACCATGTACTATTGGTGCGATTACTTCACAATCTTGTGAAATACCAATATGAATCATGAGAATTTCATTTTATCTTGGTACTGTACAGTATAAATTATTTTCAAACACACTGCGATAACTCCTTCTTATTTACAACATTTGAATGGTCCAACTATTTACACTTGAATGAAATGGATGGATATGAATGAAAATAGATATGAAGGTTGTTATTATTGCGATGATGGTACGAATTATTAAAAACATAATTCAGCATTTACGAGGTTATTTTATCCCACAATTAGCCATGGCAATAGATTCAATTTATTGAAATTTCAAATTTCAAACTGGAGAATAAAATTAATTGTAATTACCTCATCGCCCCACTTAAGCACATCTCCCTGCCTGTCTCTGAGTCTTTTATACAAATTTATAAATTGTATCACTCCATGTTTTCTCACATGGTCTGAGAGTTTTTTCGTCTCTTCCCAACTGAGTGGACTACCCTCCGTCAATAGCCCCATTCTCTTCTTCTACAAAAGGTGTTATTTTTTTCACGTGAAAAAATAAAGTGTAAATTCCTGGAGAGACGAAATATGCACTAGTATATGCAGACGACCACTCACTGTTCTCACTGACTGTGACTGACTAACCGCCTCCACGATGCACACTTATGTACTCCAGCCAGCCGACACGACCCAACTCAATGCGTAAACTATCGACTCGCCAGAATTTTCAGTACAGAGTATGCTGCCATTTCTCGGAAGTTTATGTATGTTACGATGCACGGGATCATTTCTGATATGATTCATGAGTCAAAACGAAAAAGTCAAGTCATCTTTCGTTTTTTCTTCGTTGTTTTTATAATGATACTTAGATTAGATAAAAGTATTTGATTCCATAATAACATGATGAAAAAAAAAAGAGAAATTGTTTCTTCGATGTAACGAGTCGAGCAATAATGAGGCCTTGAGCAATTCTTGGCAAGAGTGAGGGAATGGAGGCAGGATAACAATAATTTTTATGATTTTTCTGTACTTTATTCGGACGTCGGTACAAAACATCAGCAGCATAATTCCCATTGAAGAAGAATATCTGCGGTCAATAGAACAAAGTCAGGGAAATATTTCCATTTAATCGAAGAGACCGAAACCCATGTCGTCATCCTCAGATTCGGATTCTTCCTTCTTCTCCTCCTTCTTGTCAGCAGCTGGTGCAGCAGCGGCGGCGGCTGCTGGGGCAGAGACAGCGGCTGCGGCGGCGAATTTACTCGGGTCCTAAACAAATGCATTATTTTTCATCAGTTGCGAATTTTAAATTCTGATATCAATTGTTGGATGACAAAAAAAAATTCTCAGACTGCATTTTTACGCAAATTTACAACAGAGACGAGGACGCGCCAGTGGGTTCAGCTTTTCAGCTCTGACACGTGATTCCTCATCTTCAGACGTGTTAGATTGTCATCATTATATAGATGAGGAAATTTAAAAACAGTTTCATCTGGTTTTAATTGTTTGATTTAATAGCTCAACATTGCGCATCCATCGAATTACCTTGATGTATTCTTTGATGGTGGTAGCTTCAGCAAATTCAACCTCAGTGACAGCAGCAATGGCCAACAGATTTTTGAATCCGTTGGCGATACTGTGCGGAACACTGGCAACAGTGGGATAACCAATAGCCAAACAGACTGAAGCCAAATTGGCAACACCAGCCATGAATTTCTCACGGAGATCCTCGGGTTTGATATCGAGAATCTCTGGTGCGAAAATAGTGCCAGAGTCGTACACCTGCTCGACCAGAAGACCATATGAGAATGGAGAGATGTTCAACATGTTGAGGAGAGTTGCTTCTGAAGCTCCAACTTTGTCACCAGGTTTCAAAATGTGGACATCATTCTGTGAAATGACAAAATTTGATTTAGAAATTGCAACGCCAGGTGGAGTAAAATGAATACTTGAGACATTTTTTGAAATTTTTATAATTTACTTGAGTTCAGCCTGAGCTCATTACAAAGGGACAGAAGTATACCCTCAGAGGGGAAAAAAATATTTTTCCAAGTTTTAACATTTGAAAAAACGTCCAGTATTCATTTTGCAATGAAAAATTTTACTCACGATAATTTCAATAGTACCCTTGGAAATCTTGGTTGGGATACTGAGGGCCTGGAAGAAGGATGTTTTCTCAGGACCCAATCCAGTATTTTGAGCTGGAATGATGACGCTCAATGGTGCAATGGCACCGGCTCTTGCGGGGGCTCTGACTTTGTTCTCAAGCAATTTATCCCTGACCTCGACGAGGTCTCCACGAGTGAAGACAAAGCCCACGTTACCTCGGATGTGAGGCAGGAGCTTCTCGAGGGCAGCGTTACGCTCGATGTGACCGCGAATTGCTTTCCTCATCATGGTGTTCTTTCCCATGAGCACGACAGCACTCCCTCGAAGGGACATGCGAATCTGCTGCATCTGCTTTGAGCCGACATTGTCCGCGCCCACAATAAAGCATTTTGGATAATCATCCAAAAGTTGCTGAAAAATAATATTTCATTGTTACTGTGACTTTCAATAGAGTGACGTGATTTTTTATGGGATAGGAGGATTTAAATGAAGATTCTTACGATAAGTTTGGTGAAGTAGCTAGACTTCCAGCTTGCCTTGTCCTCCCTACCCATCTTGAAGTGAAAATAGGGATTTCAAAATCGTTTAAGGACTGAAAGCAAAATTTTTTTAAATTAAAAATCATGTAATTTTCATTAGCTTCAAAAAATTTATCTAGTTTCAACGGAAATTTATCAAGCTAACAGAACACCATGTGGCCATTTTACAGTGCTAGTGAATGCTTATGCCACATGGCATCATAACCTGTACACATTTTATTCTGCACATATTTATATATTAATGACCGTTTTTATGTAAATCTATTTGAATTTTAGAGAAGATATTTGAGTTATGTCGATATGAACAATAAGATGAAGATTTATGACAATGGAATAGGGCAATTCTTACAAAAAAACAATGGAAAAAAGGAATGCATCAACTTACCTCGGCAAAATCTACGGGCGCAATGGACGAGAAAGCGGAAACCGACAGTCAGCCCGGAAATCCTCAACTACTGTTTCCATGAAGCGACACACCCCAACGTCATGCATTACCGCGCCAAAAATTCGGAAGAAAAATTTAAACCAAGTGTCATGAATTTATTTTTAACACAAATTATTGAATACACAAATTCTTTAGTAAATATAAATTGAAATAATTTATTCTCCAATATAACTTGACTATTGATTGGAATTATTATAATGATTCGGAATTGTTCGTGTGGATAGGTAAATACTAAATATAATCCGCTCTGAGTCGTAAATAAAAATGATAAAAATGCCTACTTATTTCTCAGAGGGAAGAAATACTCTAACAATTATAACTGAAAAACCTCGTTTGAACATTTCTCCAACGTTTCGACAGCAAAATCGAGATCTTTCTCTTCAAGAGTGTTTGAAACACATATTCTCAAGCTAGGACGAGGCAATTGCCTTTCAGTATGGAGATAAACGGGTGTTATAATCGCTAAATTCCTGTTGATGCACTTATCAGATATATTCTTCAACAATTGATCCTCTTCCTGGCGATTCTGCTCCTTTCTCAAAAACAGATGTTTCACTGGAGACTCGGGTAGGGCAGAAAGCTCAAAATGGTGCAATCTACTGAGGCGGGTGTGGAGATTGATACAATTGTCTCTGAGCTTTGTGAATAGATCATTCGATTCCTGTTCCATGATATCGATGGCGGTAATTGCAGCTGCTGTTAGAAGGGGTGGAAGGGAGGCTGAGAAGCAGTAACCGAGTCCTGATAATCTTTGATGTTCAATAACGAACGAGGATCCAACGCAAAAGCCACCAATCGATGCCACTGCCCACTCTAATGAACCTGAAAAAATTCACCACCAATTAATTTCTCATTATTGCCAGTAAGAAAGAAATTTAAAAAACCAATTGGCCCTTACCCACAATCATATCGACTTGATGCCTGGGTACTCCAAAATATTCCGTTACTCCTTTACCAGTGCGACCGAGAGTTCCAAACGAAATCGATTCATCAATAAAAAGTCGAAGTTTGTATTTTCTGCAGAGAGCAACAAGTTCTGGCAATGGACAAATCAGTCCAGTATTCATGTAAATTCCCTCGATGACGAGAAACTTCCGGATTTTCTCAGCTTTTTTCGGATTTTTCGCTTCGACCTGTGCCTGCTCAATCAAGAGACGTTCCAAGTCCTCAGAGTCATTGTGTTTGAAGAATTTAACAGTTGATCTGGATGCGTCAAGACCTTTCTGAATAGGAAAGTTGACTTTTTCATCAGTGAAAATGATGTCTCGACGTTTGCAGTATGCAGGGATAGCTGAAGCAACTGTGCTGAATCCATAGGAATAAACAATGGCCTCCTCAGCTTCCATGAATTTAGCGAGACGTTCCTCAAGGTCTAAATGGACATCAACGGTACCATAGAAGCCCCTGGGACCACATGATCCAATGCCGTACTTCCTCGTCGTTGAAATAGCCTTTTCTTCAATTCTTTTGTCTGCCAAAAATCCAAAGTAATTATGAGTTGCCAGATTCAAGCAATCTCTTCCATCAATTGTTAGCCTTTTGCCTATCTTTGAAGATACGAGCCTTGGTGTTAGAAATGGATGATTTTGATCGACTTCAGGCACCAAACTCTCTGGACGCCATTCCGCAAGTTTCTTCTCAACTTCTTCATCGCTCACTCCAACACGTTTAGTCTTCCGTGATTTTGAGAGAAACCAAATTAACCACAATCCAATAAATGTTCCAATTACTATTTCATATTGACCACTACTTCCAAAAATATTAATCGATTCCAACAATTTGTATTTTACAGGCATTGTGTTGTTTTTTTAGGCTAAATGGCAAATGCACTCAAGTCCAAATTCTTCACTTATTATCCTCCAGGTGAATTGAAATCTTCTCAAATTTTGAGAGACTATTTGCGGCATGGGTTGGGCTATTATGTTTAATTATCTTTTCGATACATTTTTATAGATCCGATAAACTCAACCGGTGTGTCTTTGGTTGTGTTGGCGCATCAAATGAGTATAACAATACGCAGGCGCATGCGTTACATGAATACAAGCCCAGAGAGCTAAGGTGAATAATAATGTTTCTGGAGTTTGGCAGACGCCCATTGAATGAACATAGATGTGTTGTTCTATCGGTGTTTTACAGTTTCCCGTATTATTATTACAAAGGTGCTCTTGATCTCCTAAAAGTTCATCGAATAGACTGATTAATTCTCTGGGACATTTAACGTCGAGGAAAATAATTGCTCGTGCGGTACGGTGAGTAAATTCATCCAATTTACAATTTCTATCGGTGCATTCTGTGCAAGGAGATATCACTTATCCCGTTGAATCCTTGCATTTTGACATTGTTGAAATTTTTCGATTTATATTTGTTTTTTCTTTTCTTCATGAAAGTTCAAAGTGAAAACAATAAACGGGTGATACATTTGTTTTCCTTATTTTTCACAAAGGATGCAACGATTAGATCTGCTGCGGTTCCAACACACTGTGAATCATCAACCCCTCCCCCTTTCTCCCCTTCGTATGCATAAGTCTACGATATTCAATATTCGACCTGAAATCATCGCACCTGCTCTCTTTACAATAGTCTTGGCTAAAATATTCATTCGTGATAAGCCTCTTCCATGAGGAATTTGCCCGTATATGGTCGTTACGTTTGAAATAGATTAGATTTGCCGGAGTAATTGCAAGAGATTTTTTATAACGGCATCATTATAAAGAGTTTTAGCGGATGAGTCCTTTCGTGTGGCTTCAGCCGTAAAGAGTATTGAATTATTGCACCAGTAGGTCAGGCTTTACTTTTTTTAGTTTCATAGAATAGTTATTTTATACCATGTCTAGACTCTTGTTCTGCTTTTGAAATATATTATGCTCTTCTGTCACTTCGTATCCCAAAAGGTCAATTCCTTTTCAGTCAAAATATACAGTTAATTCTTAAGAGGTCATCAGATTTCCGAGGAATAGGAATATTGATGAATATTCAACCAAATTTCTCATTATAATTTTTATAATGTAGATTTTGTGGCTCATCGGCACTTGCAAGGAATGTATATCTCAGGAGTAACGGTCTGAATGTGTCCCCACTCAAAAGATTTATGGGACTCAATTATTTTCCATGTTTGAGATGAAATTCGAGAGTGGAGAACTCATCGAATTCAGTCAGTTGGTTTTAGTCATTTCGTCACTCAGCACCGCGATTCTTCCTCATTAACTGGGGAATTATTTTTTGTCATCGTTATAATAATTTTATTTGGAAAAGTTATATAATGCCGTACTCAGAATTCAAAGAAGACGGATTCAATGTGCAATCAGACAGAGCTATTTACCGGCATCTATTGAAAATCTGGAAAAATCGTGAGTTTGTAAATTCTTTTCTCAATACTACTGTAATAATTTCACCGTGAAAATTGGGAGTTTATTACTGTAAAATTGTAGCACCACTCAGTTGATTGACCTGAAAACATTAATATTTCATTTCTGCAACGGTATCACATTGTTCCAATTAAAATACACGCATTTTATTAATATACAGTTGTTTTTGTAACTGCACATAATGAAATTGGAGACGTGCATTTTGCTCACTTAAAGTAATTTACTCCAGCAATTACCCTTTCGAGGGAACTAATATGTTCCATCCATCGATGGAGGTGATCGAGGGTGAATGACTTATCGTTGCGTGAATAAAAAAAAGTTATTTCCTCATAGAAAATTTCAGGATATACAATTTCGGGTCTCGTCCGCATATTTCGGGCGGCAGCACTGCGAATCTAGCTCTGGTCGAAAGTCTATCAGTAACTGTGCGGAGGACTTGAATTAAACCAAACGGATATGCTCCACCCCAAATAGGCAATAAAACGCGATAATTGTCAGCGCCTTCACACTGTGATGACTTCACCCTGTGCGATATCTATAACATTTATATTAATCATTATCTGCGTAATATCGAAGGAGTGGCTTCTGAGAAGTATCCTACAAAGTTCATATGTATACATAGATCGCTACAGAGATTGTGGTCCGACGTCGAATGTGCATTCCACGCCCACGATTCTGCTACTCAATTTTCGTATTCCCATTTCCATTTGAAAATAAATATTCCATTGTCAGTGCCATATGAAATGTTCGTTTCGGGTTGTGAAAAAGAAGCGCAATTATGCCGATATAAATGCGCAATAGAGAGATTCCCTAAGTTAATAAGAGGATTTTTTTACAAGTGTTGCAATATTAAGCCGCTCAACATTATTAAATGACTGTCAACGTTTCACAAGCAATTCCTAGTATCTCGCCGTGCAATCAGATAGAATAATCGCATAATCACCGCAATTACAGCATCAAAAATGTTCTCTTGCTGTACTTGCAACAAAAACTCGAAGAAAGCCGGTGGAAAAAAAAACAAGGGAAATCATCAAGACGATGCAAAAGGTGCTGATGAAGTGGAAACCCCCGAGGGTGATTATGGCCAGACAATGACAATTTCAAACAATGAAACGACTGAGAAATGGAATGGTGATACCAAAGATCCTACGGAAAGAGGATTAGATGATGATATTGACAAGGTAGATATAATTGAATCGAAATCATTCCATTCGGAGGATAACGTTTCGGAACTGCCGGAGGAGCCTTCGAATGTGGAGGAGGAAGAAAAACTGCAATTAGATATTTCATTGGAGAAGAAAATACCAGGGCCCCCGAAAATAGCCTGTCTATTCGAAGCTCCTGCATACATAGAGAGAACTATGAAGGATGGGCCGGACGAAGATGGAGATGATTCCGTCTTCGAGAGCTCAGTGCACGCCGATAACCCATCAGGTACAGATTCCAATGAATCGAATTTGAGGTTTTATTAGAGTGCATTTATGAATAGCCATTGATGCATCGTGACAAGTATGACGAAGCTGTGAATTGTCCCATAGTTTCTGAACACGAAGCGCGATCAGACAGGCCCATCATAAGGTGGCTATCGCAGGAGGACGATGATGCAGTTGATGAAGTACGCGGAGGAATGCAGGAGCCACCAGCAACCCCAGTTGCAAAGGATGAACTCGCACTGAGGCGACACCGATTTTTCTCTGATCTCATCGATGCTACTAAGCACTCGGCGGAACATAGAGTGAGATTCGATCCACTCGGTCCATTGATTCATCCTGGTTAGGAACCATTAGCAATCATTCACTCGATGTTATCAAGCATGATAAATTTATTTAGAAATATTAATACACAACCAGAATCATATTAAAATCCCCGCATTATTGCGCAGTGCTACCGCCCACGTATATTTCACTCTTCTCTTTCTGCCTGTTCTCAAAATCCCCCAAAGTACGATTTTTGCGGGTTTTCTATTTATAAATTTCGGGGGTATTCTAGATACCTCATGACATTTGAGTCTCATCTATCTGTCTCAGTTCGCTGAGTAGTTTTGGAAGGTACGAAGCGTTAAATTCATTCGTATTGCGAGTGAAAAAATAACTTGTTTTTCTTCCATAGGTCGATTTCTTCAACTATTGTTGTTAGTGTTGGATGTTTAGAAATGAAATTTAGTGGAAGATTTTTCATAGTTCGGATGAGAAATTATTATTTCACGAGAATCTTTCACAATACCGCCTGATGTATAGATCAAATTTGTCCACTATCGATTCATTATGTGCCTTCCAAAATGTTGCCAAGACGGAAGAAAAACAAACGAACAAAAAACTAGTACCTCTGTAACGCTTGCGACATAATTCCGTGATGTCAACGACTATGATTACAGAGTGGAAAGACTATTTGTGTTACACTGCGTGGATCTATATTTATTTGAATCGTTGACGAATTCTGATGTGAAATATTCGGGTTTTTCGGGCTCATAAAAATATTACTATCGTTCATTTCATGAGACTTCATTAATTCATGACACTGTAGACGAATGGACATTATTAATCATACTGTGCAATCCTTCAGGTTGTGACACGGAACGAGAGGATCATCTAGAGGAATTAGTAACCCGTCTGGAGAACGTAACCAATCGTCTGGAAATTCTTCCCACTAAACTCTTTACTCTGACCCAAGAAACAGGAGTTCAAACTCAGAGCTTCTCACCGAAGAAATCTGATCATTCGAGCCCAGATACACTCTCCATTGAGAGCGTTGTGGAACTAGGAAGTCGTGACTCTGAAGAATCCAGTGTTGCTCCAATCATCATGTCGATTGTGGACTATGAAGACCTTCTCAACGGACCGGTTGCTGAATTTTTCCAGCTGAGTGGAAAAATTGGAGGTGATGTTGCTGCCCATAGTAAACTCGTGGAGAAAGCATTCCAGTGAGTATTGTTGAATTTCATCAATTATTTCGTTTTATTCAATTGGTTTTGAAGAAAATAAGTAGTTGTAACATATTTTTTTGTCTAGGATACAACTGGAGTTCTTGCGAATGGCGGCAACTCGTTGCGCTCCCGCCAATCAGTCAGAACAAATGGCTCTTCTATCCCCTATGTCATTGCAAATACACGCGATTCAAGAATATCGTGAAAAGAATCGCGGCTCTCAATTCTTCAATCATTTATCCGCAATAAGCGAGAGTATTCCGGCACTCGGATGGGTAGCGGTGGCTCCAACTCCAGGTCCATATGTCAAAGAGATGAACGATGCTGGACAGTTTTACACAAATCGTGTATTGAAAGATTGGAAAGAAAAGGGCAAGACGCATGTTGAATGGTGCAAGGCGTGGGTACAAGTACTCACCGAACTGCAAAAGTATGTGAAACAGCATCACACAACGGGCCTTGTCTGGGCTAAGACTGGCTCAGCCCCGCCACCACCACCCCCTGGTGCAATGCCACCACCACCTCCATGCATGCCAATTGGTGAATTGAATACATCCGCGGCTAATGACGATAGAAGCGCACTATTTGCCCAGATTAACCAGGGTGAGAATATCACCAAGAGTCTTAAGAAAGTTACATCGGACATGCAGACACATAAGAATTCCTCGATGAGAACCGGTCCGGCGCCATTCAAAGCACCGGTTGTTTCGAATTCGAACACTTCACCGATGAAAACTGTTCCTCCAGCGAGTCAGCCCATTGACAAACCACCAGTTTTCACTCGAGATGGCAAAAAATGGCTCATAGTGAGTAAAACAAAATTATACCAAAATTCATTCTTTGGAAAGTATAATTATTCCCTCTGATGATCCTAGAATGAATAAATTGTCCTCACGAAGATCACTTAAAGAGCTCGAAAAATCGTACATTCATTACCGTCGTTCCAGGGAATGCAAATGGAGAAGAAGTCACAGCACAATAATTTTGAATTTTTCCTGCTTCTAGGAATACCACAAGGGCAACAAAGATCTCCTAATTGATAACCCGGAAATGAATAATGTCGTTTACATGTACCGATGCCAGGATAGCACCTTGATTGTTAAAGGGAAGATTAACTCAATTGTCATGGATTCATGCCGCAAATCTTCAATTGTATTCGACTCTGTTGTCTCCAGTATTGAATTTGTTAATTGCCAAAGCGTACAAATGCAGGTATGTGTCATCATGATTTTTATTAATTTTCTGTCACTTGATGTACATGTACATGCAGTTACATAAGTTTAGCGCGGGTGGGATGTTTATAAGTCAGAGATGAATTCCTGAATTGAGCTCAATCTGGGCTCATTACGGCAAGGGGGAATTTTCCTTTACGAGGAAAAAAAATTATCGCATTTTAACAACCGTTCAATCCTATTCTCTCCCAATCTTTCCGCCGAATATCACACAAGGGTATTCGTATCGATGATGAATTTTCTTTGAGGAACCACTTCAGAGTCTTTTGATTGATCGTCGGTATTTTGACTGGCACTAGAGCACACGATTGTTACGATTTTTGAAACTCCTGAGTTCTTAATATATTCTGTTAATCCTCGAATTTTAAAAATGTTTTCTTTGATGTAATCTGAGAACTCTTGGGAGTTTTCCATCTTCATTGGATTCTGATGTGGTTCATTTATAATGTTTATGTAAATTATTGTTTGTTCTTCCGAATTATGATCTAGAATGTCCTCATTTTTACTCAAGCATGTTGATGTTCTGTTGGAGTCTTTGTCAGTTGAAATTTGAGATTTTTGAGATATGGCCGGAGGAGTCCTGCGAGGGTTACTGCAGTGATCTCTACTCTTTTTCGTAGAACGGTCGTTGAGCCTTGACTTCAAAACGGGAATGCCTGACTTGGATCTAGATTTGAGATGATTTTCTCTTCGAATACAATCTAAACTTGAACTTCTGATTTGTTCCTTGATTTTGCATTTTTGGTGTATTGAGTCTGGAGAAATTTGTGGGGTATTTGATCGCTTGGAGGACGTCTCATACGTCCTGGTAGTTCCATATGACTTACTTCTGCGCGAGGATAATTCAATACTACTTTTACTGAAATTATTCTTATTGACATTACGCTTGATGCAACTCAAATTAAGAGTATTTCCTTTTTGGAATGGACCTTCATTGCGCTTCGGTTTCTCAATACTGCTGTCAGTAGAAGTGCTGGATAATGACAAGTTGCCCTCATGGGCAATTTTTGTGAGAGCAACTAATTGCAACTTGGATTCATGTGCATTTTTTATTCCGTCACTCTTTTTTTCGGGATAATCCAAACCAGTAGGATCTATTATGTCCTTCAGACGTGCTATTCTCTCTCGAAATTTGTCGGATAGTACATTAATCGTGAAGTTGAAACCCGTGAAAGAATTTTTTAATACCAATGGCTCAATGTATTGTAAATGTTCATCCACAAATAATTCATTGGTCCACGAATTTTCAATTTCTGTTAGCGCAGTGAATTTTATATTCTCCAATTTCATAAACGCCGAGCAACAGTTGTCACTCTCAATGATCGAATCATTTGTTATATTTTCTTTAGTCCGAATGCTCGGAAAAATGATTATTTCACTAGGTACTTTCTTTGATCCTTCGCCATCATTAGTATCGCCAAAATAGTGTGTATCATTTATTTCATTGTCATGGATATTCAACATCAGTTGTTGACTTTCTCCAGCAGTTATCGTTGGAGTTGCTTGTTCCAATGTAGTACATGGTATAGTAACTGCTCCCTGATGAGTTGGTTCAGGATCTTGAGTATCATCTACTTCCACAACTTCTTCAAAATCTCTATGTGCATTTACATACGTATCATTCGCATTTAATTTTGCTTTCTGATTCTCATGACAGTCATCACAGTCAGTGAGTTGTTCGTTGCAACTATTTCCAGACTGCTCCTCGATTATACTGTCTAGGGGTTGGGATGCATAACTATTTTTCACAGCAGGAACCAGTGAATCCGCTGAGTCCATTGTAGTTTCGTTGTCGCCAGAGGGTATCGTCTCCGGGAAATTTCCTAACTCATGCGAATTGTCTGTTTCTATAATGGCAGCTTGGTTTGGTTCGTTGGTAGGGTTCGTTGGAAGTGGTAGAGTTGGAATTTGTGAAAATTGGTCGTTGCCCTGAACTTGCCCAGCCATTTGTATTGATTTATTTTCGCTTAATTGAGGAGTATGAACAAAATCTTCAGGAATGTTCTTGACTGGAGGATCATCACTTTCTGCAGCACCGCTCTGCAAGTCACTCAATTCTTGGAGAAAACTGTCCAACAAATTCACCTCTCTAGCAGTTTTTTCTCTAGTCAAATTCATCCCCTGTTCATTTCTGTATATTTTCAATACTGTATGAAGGCTCTCCAATCGCTGACGCACTTTACCCAGTGTGATTTTGGTTGATGTGAATAGTTTCGCAACGTCTGGAGAATTGCTGAGGAGTTTCAGCGGAATTTCTACATATCCCTCGTCGCTATTTAATTCATCACTCGCTTGGCATTGGATTCCCGTGGATTTTCGTATTTGTGGAGTCTGACATTTGATATTGATGTGCTTGTTTGATTGGATACCTTTCACACATTTCTTGCAGGCTTTTCGTTTGGAATGAGCCTTTTGTGTGATACAATTTTCATCGAAAGTATTTGACTCGTTGAGTTGAAATTTCAAATTGTTACGTTTCAAAATGCATTCGGGTATGATTTTACTGTACCAGGAATTATGGCTATCAGGGGCGAACAGATCCACTGCCTGATTATCTTCTGTCTTGATTATTTCTGAATTGCCATTGATGTCGTCAGGAAGAGGCCAAGATCCGTACTGCATTCTGTAGGCTAATACATTGACTCTCATTTCAAGATTCTTGAGTTTGAAATTTATACCATTGAATATTTGTTCCTTCATTATATTTTCAATGATCTCTGTAATTTTCGACCAGAAAGTGTAGAGGACGAGCAGCATGCAGCAGACCGGAGTGATTACCTGACAATAATGTTTAAGAATCAAGGAATTTCCTGGAAAATATTATGTTTGAGGTTTACCCGCCATAATACTCCATCGGTAACAGTGACATAGTCAATAACATCAGTGACAATCTCAGACCAGAGATAATTTAGGATTGTAAAAGGACATGATTTCCAATCGACTTCGCAAATCATGCGAACAGGTTGGACATTTCCACCTGAAAATGCATTCTGTAATAATTAGACAATTCCGAAATCCCTTGTTCATCATAATTACCGAATTGCCAGTGAATTTTTCGATCCCATAAAGCCATCTTCCTCTGAGATAATTAATCCGAATGTGTTTGTCGATAATTTTCAAAGATTTTTATAGTGGGCTGTATTCATTGTATGTACTATAGCCGGACTAGAGTTTATTTTCCCCTTGGAAAAATTGAATTTCTATTGTTTTCATTGAGCATTCAATACATGCGACTACGTTCAGAAGGGTAAAGAAATTATTATCAAACTGTAATACATAATCTGCATTAATGCTGATGTTATTTTTTTTGCTCAGGTCCTCGGAAAAGTACCGACAATTTCAATAGACAAGACTGATGGCTGCCAGATGTACCTCAGTCCTGAGTCTCTTAACGTCGAGCTCATCAGCAGCAAATCAAGTGAAATGAATGTCATGGTACCAAAAGGAAATGGGGATTACGTACGTATTTGATTGCCTGCCAATTTTCGCTGGCATAGAGTGACTTAATTATAAAAATTAACCATTAAACTTGATATTTCTAGGTGGAGTACCCAGTGCCAGAGCAATTTAAGACCACCGTAAGCCCCAAAGGACTCAACACAATAGCAGTCGACGCACTCGGCTAAATACGATAAAGCTAATAAATAAGTTTTTCAAAGTTCCCAAAATAATTGTAATGATTCTTTTTCTCTACTAATGAATTTTATACGAACAGTGTCATGAGAAATAAGACACAAAATCTTTAGTTGATAAAAGCATCAATAATAATCCCAAAATTGATAATAATTTAAAATGAGAGAGACAGAATAAAAATATTGGCTACGAAAAGACTAATAAAAACATCATAACTCTAATTATTCAGCATTTTCAGTGAGTCGTGGAGATCAAGTCAAGTATACCCATTTCATACTCAATATTGATATCAATAATTTATTCTATTGAATTAAGGATAATGATTTGTTCATAAAATAAATTTCTCCAGACTAACGATTATCAAATGAGTAACGTCTTCTAAACTTTAGTTGACTGAAAAATGGTATTGATCAAATAGTCCCGTGATGAATCCTGTTTTTCCTATCCTATTTTTTTGCAATTGCGACCCCGGATCCATGATTCACATTGACAGTAAGTCTGAAAATTTACCATTCAGCATTGTTTGCGCATGCGTTATCCTCTAGAACGCGAGGGGGCTCTCACACGACGCATTTTGTGCGTTTTACCATTTCGGCTGCTCTCACTAAAATTGCAAATTTATCGCATAAATCTCTTCATTGTAACTAATTAATTGCACAAAACAATATAAAAAACTATCAGGTGTCAAACAATCTTATCAGTAATTTCGGTCTTCCCTTCAGTCCCGTTGAAATGTCTATTATCAGACCACTAACCTGCAACGACTTATTCAAATTCAACAATGTGTGAGTGCACATTCAGTCATTCCATTATTATCATCTTAGCTTCATTACGCTAAATCGTAAATTTTTTTTATAATTTCATTTCAGGAATTTGGATCCCTTGACGGAAACCGTATCCTTTTTAATGAGCAAAATTGGAATTCCTTTCGAAAGTACCCACCATTTGTGTTTTTATATTTTCTTTAATTGTAGCAACAAATAGTATGGATTACCCTTCTACATGCTGTATTTAGCCCGATGGCCCGAATATGTACAAGTGGCGGAATCTCCCAGCGGAGAACTCATGGGTTACAGTAAGTTGATAATAAATCCTTTTTTCCCTTTGAAAAAAAATTCATGTAACGTTTTCTGCCTATTCAGCTATCATTATTAAGTCATATCTGGCTGTACTTATAATTATATTTTTACATATGTATAATTATTTTTGAAATTGCAAGTATAAGTTTAAAATTAGAATACATGAAATTGTTGAATTTTAATAAGTTTTTCAATTCACTAATTACAACAACCGGGCTAAGTATAAATATACTTGTAAAAAAAAATTGACTATACGGTCTAATGGATATAATTATAGCGCGCGGCGCGCACTATATGTTAATAAAATAGAATCGTGCCTATAAACCAGATGAAAATACCACTTTTGAAGATCTTACCGATAAATTATAATCTACATATGTCATCACAGGAGATGAATTACTTTTGCAGTTATGGGAAAAGCGGAAGGCCGAGGAGACTCTTGGCATGGCCATGTAACAGCACTTACTGTCTCTCCAGATTATAGACGACTGGGTCTCGCTGCTAAACTCATGAAATATCTGGAGGAAGTCTCGGAAAAGTAAATATCATCATTAATAAACATCCTGCTCCAATGTGCTTAAATGGAAAATTGCGAATTTGCAGGAAACAAGCATATTTCGTCGATCTCTTCGTGCGCGTCAGTAACAAAGTGGCAATTCAAATGTATCAACAGTTGGGCTATATTGTTTATCGAACTGTCTTAGAATATTACAGTGGAGACCCGGACGAAGATGCCTATGGTGAGAAAATTTAAATCCAGCCACTCTTCATTGTCAATAACATTCTGTTCTCTTTTTTCAGATATGCGAAAAGCACTCTCGAGAGATTTTTTCAAGCAATCTGTCATACCGCTGACCCATCCTGTACGTCCGGAAGACGTTGAATGACATACGGAGGATGAATAGATATTCACTGACCAATGACACAATTATCAAAATCATTAGTTGCTCCACTAGATTGCAAACACATGAAATATCTCCATACATAATCACAAGGTGAATATCAAATTCATTAGTTTTTATCACTGACACTCTGGTCAATTGTCACTTGGATACCTAGAATTTGTACATGATAATACGAAAGGCGTGAAGGAAGAAGGATAAAAAAGTGTGAAAGATGACGAGTTGGAGACTGAAGCCTCATTTATTTTTCTACGTGTTTGAATGTCTTTTAATAATTGAGGAAATTTGATTTCATTGCGTATTATTAGAACTATTAATGATACATGAATGAATAAATAAAAAATTATTGATCGAACGGTTGATGACAACATACATGGTAACTATTTATTATGGCCGTTGATACGCCTGATACGGCACTTCATAATGACCCAGAGATTCGTGATGGCTCCTTTCGTGCCAGCCGTCTGCCACTGGTGTGTGATAGAGACCGTAATTAACTCCGTTGGTCGCTATTTTCTTGAGTCCCTGAATACTTGAGAGCATGAGGGCCAATTTCGCGAGAATCAGAGCCTTTCCTCCGAGTACGGCGAGGAATTGAAATCCCATTGGTATGAGAACGGAGCCCATAATCAGGAGACCCATCATCATCATCGGCATCAAGTGTTGGTTGCGTCTTCTGTGATGACGTCTTCGGCCTGGCCACATTCATATGAAAGAAAATGAATAAAAGGCAAATTACTGCATGATATTGCTTTTGACTTTTTTTAAAAATATTAACAACTCATTCAATTGCTTCCCTTTGTGATGACAATTTTAAATAAATGGCAATCACCTTCAACTAAACCATCCCCCGAATTTTCTCTCATTGCTTCTTCAGTTGCATTCTTAGATTTTGTCAATTTTTCTATATTAATCCTCAATACGTGTGTTCTAAAGATCCTTCCGAAGCGCGCGAATACAATGTCTTTCCAAGTTTTAACACTCTCTCGGCCACGTGTCTCCCCAATTCTGTGGGAAAAAATAATGTTCAGTTATCTGCATCCGTCATACAGCCGAGGTATAATTGAACCGGTAATTGCTACTACTCACTTGTCATGTTGCCTATCGGCGGTATCAGTGAGATTTGTCTGTCTGTAACGCACCAGGTCGATTCCATTAACAACGGGTATCACGTCATCAGATAGTACGGCATCCAGGGCGATAAGAGCCCTGCGTTGTAAACACTGACGCAGAATATCCAAGAAAGGTTTACGGCTATTTGAATCGGTTAATTTTGGTGAACAATTTTTCAATAAAGCATTTAGCCCACTTGACCAATTTTCTGAAATCTGGCAGTGCAAGCTACTCGTGAAAATGAAAAGAATGAGGCAGTAGCTCAAAGGATGAAGAATCATCTGGAAAAATCAAGGAGAACAACTAATTTGACCAACAATTATCGCAAAGAGTCACTTCAAAGTCACTTGAACTTACCGTAATTGTTATAAAAATGTATCGAATAATCACTGGCAGAGTAAAAATATCTTACAGGACGAAGACTCAACGGAACACTGTACTGTTGTACAGAGTGTTCCGAAGTATTTATGCTTTGAAATAAATAGGGTAAGGTGCCATGCGACGGGAAATACGTATGATCGAATATCCGTATTTTGAATTAAAAGAAAAAAATAGGAAAATAGTGGAAGGAAGGCATCGAAGGGGATCCAGGGTAGCGGCGGTCAAAAGGCCACTGTACTTTATGTTCGTCCAACCCTGACGTATATAATTTTTAGCATCGAATCATGGACCTTGAATTGGCTTTTGTGTCACATCAATATGAGTAACAATTTACTTCCCCCAACAGGTCAGAGAATTGGGAGTATTACATACTTGTCATCCGAGGCTGATGACCAGTTCATTATCATGAAAATTAAAGTGAATTAATAATTTTTTCATTTTCTGTAAAGTTTATTATGTAGGAATTATCATTTCTTACATTTTGATCCACTGAAATATTTGAAACTAAAAGTACCAGAGGAACACATGATACTTTTTAATGAGCACAATTGTCAAAAGTCAACGAAATAATATTTCAACCAATATTTTGATGAATTTAAATCACAGTATATTTTAAATTGGATACCTATATTCTAGGTCACATAGTCCTTCGTCCTATCAGCCATCCTTTGTTGAATACTAGAGTAATAGGTTTTCAATAAGTTGATAATTTTAATCAAGCGTAGAATTGATAGATAAACTACTAATCCCTGAAACAACTGAGAAATTACAAGGAGTATCTTCAGTAACAAAGTCAGACATTTCATCTCTAGCACCGTGTGGAATAAGATCCTTTCTTCGAGACATGTGTCCCGGCGAATAGTTCGGTGATAATGTTACATTGTATATACGTCTAGAATCGTTCGGTATGATGGAAGAGAAATCTTTGATCGAGATGGGGGCCTGGAAGAAAAAAGATTCCCACATGAGACAGTGTTTACTAAATTTTCAAGAATTGGGAAAAGATAATGGTATGTAGGCATGCTACCTTAGGCATTCCCGATCGAATGCACTGAGCCAATATCATCTCCTCTTCCTCCTCAGAAAGACTTGAACTTGCTTCTGACTGGGGTGATTTCAATTCCTCCTGGATATTGTTGTTTCGTGGAGTGGTTTCAAAAGTTTTTTCAAGTTTTTCCGATTGTCTCGACGTTGACGGCTTGGAAGAGAGAATATTTAATTTAGCTTTAGGCATGGCAGACTCTATGCACTCAGCGAGAATAGCATCGTCATCGGATTGATTGGGACTCTCATCCGAGGAATTATTGGACTCCTGATCTTGACCGATGATCATCCGTTGACGAGGCTGGCGACTCTCGTGCAATGTTGATGATAAGAAACCCTCACATTTCTGGCCAGTGAGAACTATACTGGGGCTCATGGGTTTCGACATTCCTGACTGTATGCACTCGTCAAGAATTTTTTCATCATCGCCAGATGAGTTTGAACTGACATCGGACAAATCGTTGAGAGATTCTCGCAGTTCTTCGGGTTTTTCCGAGTCTTCTAATATACTAGGCATTGATAATGCCGAAAGATTGGATTGAGAGCCCACTGGCGAAATATCAGCAGGTGTGTCTTCTGTACAATAAATATGCATTGTATCCGACGTTATTATAGGTACGTCAAGAGCTAATTTTGTTTTCATCGTCGATGCAGCAGCATTCCTCCCCTGACAAACAGCCGAATCGAGTCTATCCAGTGTCGAACTAGTTTGATAACGAATTAAATTCGTCACTGATGTTGGATACGATTTCGGCGACTCTGCTTTTTTAAAATTCTCTCTATATCTGTTATTTTGTATTCCCATGTTGATGCAAGCCGCTAAAATATCTTCGTCGTCCTCTCCGTCGCAGTCGCTCACTTGTTCATGATCTTTGTCATTAACAGCCGTTTGAAGGCCCTTGAAATTTCCTTTAGATTCCAATTGATCATGCAATATTGAAACATTGTTTGCTTCGCTGGGGAAGGTAAGTGCACGCTTCAGTGCTTCTGGCAGTTTAGGCTCGTCATCGATGGTCAAAGAACTCAAACTAGTAGCAGCTGAAAATTCAATCGGAGTGGATTCCTCTTTGAAGGCCGCTGTATCGTCCTCGAATACACTATTTTTCCCTCTCTGATGTGCATATTTTGGCAACGAAGGTAATCGTAGAGGACGTTCCTCCGATGAATTCTTGCTATTATTACTTTTATTATTATTATTACTATTATTATTAATATTATTATTATTATTATTACTATTATTACTACTATTGTTGTGATTACTACTATTATTCTTAGGACTCGGTGGAATGGTCTGGGTCGGCGAATCTGGAAGCTCACTCGGCGATACTGCGCCACTGGTTAATCTACTAAAGTCGCTAATTATGGAACTCCTATCGTCATGAATCGAATGCTGCTCGAATCCACTGAGTGAACCGAGGGAACTGCATCTTGAAAACATGAGTGGTGTCTCCTCGGCATAGTAATCCTCACCACCAAATGTAACTACTTTTGATTCCTTATCAATAGATTTTTCTTGCTGAATCTCCACTTGTTCAGTGTCATCAGGTTCTTCTTTGATCTCGATGAATTTTTCATCCTTTCCATTGACACTATTGGATTTGTCAGAGTTGTCATTGGTTAATAAAAGTTGGTTTTTCGTTACCACTGCTCCACTCTCCAACGAATTCAATGAATTGGCTCTAGAAACACCACCAGATGCTTGCTCATCGTAATAATAAGTCACTTTAGGCGACTGTACACTACTTGTATCTAATATCACTATGTCAGAATCATCATTCTTAGCCGAATCAGGCATCTTTTGCGACACTTCCTCCGATTCCACGTGATTACTGCATTCATTAAACTCTTGAATTGTTCCGTGAATATTTTTAACCAATTTTTTCGATGTTTCCCCGTCTTTAAGATCCTCCAGGCGCAGATCTGACATGGAAGTAGCTGTAGAAAAATTGAATGGAGTCTCATAAGGAGTCCCTTCAGTGCAATATGTTTTGATAGTATCCTCTTGCTCTGTTCCTGCATTGAAATACTGTCTACCCTCGTTCTCCTCATCGTCTGTATCATCCTCGGCATATCGTAGGCTATAGTCAGTCGGTTGATCCAAATCGGTTTCTGCATAATCCCCGAATAAATTTTCATTCCTCTCCGAAAATTCCTTATCCCTTGTGGCCGATTTGTTTTTCATATTGGACCTTTGTTTGGCCGATGCGTCATTATCGAGATATTTCTTACTGTAATCTACCGGCAAATCTCCATCAGCTTCGTAAACAGCGACACTGGCTTGACAGCCTGTCTCGAAATAGGGGGAGCTAACCGGTGATCCCTTTCTTTTCTCATTTTGAGGTTCATTCGACCCAGACTCATCGAAGGAATTGTTCGATTGGATGGGCTCTTCATCCCCCAGGGGACTCGATGGGGGTCTGGAGAAATGTTGATTCCAGGCTTTATCCGACAAGGGAGGATCACTCTCGGAACTCGCATTTGGATTATTCTCAACCGTTGCTTCGACAATTGGTGCATGTGATTCCTGTGGCTTCAAGGCTGTATCAGTTTTCGTTACACCGGAATTAGTATTAACTGGAGGAGTCAATTGGAAGGCATTATTATGTCCATCTTTTGCTGTTAGAAGATTTTTCAAAGCATGAGATGCACCTGTTGAGATCATTTTGTGTTTTGATTGTACAAGATTTTGAAGTATTGGCACTGCTCCCAGTGTCCAGAGTGTTTTCTGATCCTTCGTACAACGAGCTGATAAATTCCAAAGAGTGCCGCAAGCGTTATTCACAATAATCAGACTTGGAGAGGTCAGAAGTTTGACTAAAATATGCAGGCCATTTTTATTCCTCAATATTTGCCGATATTTTTCCTCAATTGCTACATGGCTAGAAACATTCCTGATTATGCCACTGGCATTCTCGATTATAGCCAGCCTTTTCGATGGCCCCTTGAAAAGCAACATATCGATGAGGAATTCTAGGGCTCCATCAACAGCACATATGTCAACTTTATTGCTGGCACAGTGTGCCGATAAATTCCAAAGTGCCGAAAGTACTGACTTCAATGTTGATTCTCGTCGTGTTTGCATTGCAACTCGTGTCAAGTGTGACACCGAGCCCATTTCACGTAAAACTCTCTTGGAATTAGAATCAGCTCTCCACGACAAATTTCTGAAGACACTTGCTGTCACGTGATGGAGATCCTCGTTGGAGCTCTTCAACTGCTCCACCCAAGCCTTCACAAATCCACTGCATGAGCAGAGGAAACTGTTATTCTTACTATCGTTTGATGTTAAAACAGTCAAAATCATTCCTGCGTAACGACGAAGAGCTAAACAATTGGGATCGTCACTCGATGAGCCATGAATACTGTGGTCTACCTCTATGACCTCTGCTATTGCATGAAGACCACCCAGTAGGCTTATAGTATTTCGATGTGTCTCGATGAATGATAATTTGAATAGAAAGGACATTGCTGGGATTGGGTGCCTCAATGATGACGATGATGATGATGATTCCTCCTCCGCCTCTTCTTCTTCTTCTTCTTCCTCCTCATTCCTCAAGGATCGACTGTATTCTCTCAATTGCTGAATCAACTCTAGTATCTGGAGCTCTTGATTATCCTCATCTTGATGCTGGGTAGCTCTGACAATATTGTAGAGTGCTTTGGAAGCACCTGTTCGCACTTTGGGACTCTGCTCCGGCGTATGAATCAATTGGATTAGAAGAGGAAGACATCCTGCAATTGGATAACATTACATTACAAATTTATTTATTTTATTTATGCACCGCGAGTTGATTTACCCGACTGTCTCATTGCGGAGCAGTTATCCACTGAAGTGCTCAGCGATAACAAGGTCGCACTTGTGTCTTCTCCCGCATCTCCAAGCAACATCCCAAGAAGACCGTATATGCCATCCATGTTCCTGTCAAATGCTTTGCATTCCCTACCTACAGTCTGGCAATTACACAACAATCAGTCACAACTGATAGAGACTATAATTTTTTTTATCCCATTTTTTATCAACAGGACAACAGGTATGAAAAACACAAGATACGAAATGTCCATTTATCCATACCCATAGGTGCACAGGTTCTTTTCTTGATCTCTCCTCATAACCAGCAGTAATTTTTCTGATGAATCAAATGACTGGCACTTGTATTGTTGCTCACTGATTGCAACAAAACAGTGTAGGTTAGATTTGTTTATTTTCGTTGTTGGATAGAGAGAAGCTCTGTTGTGAGACTTCTGTCAGTGAACGCACGAGACGCTAGTTTCGATCACCAACTCTGAATATGTGTGGGTGTGGTGATTACTTCGTGTAGGTACTGTATGTGTATACGACGATTCACGGAAAAAGCAACGGGCATCTTTCGGTCTTTTCGGTCTTGCTATGAAGCACACAGATGGCATCGCTGAAACTGTAACGTTTATCATTATAATAATCATTTTTTGATTCTCTTTCATCGTCGTATATATATTCGGTTGAAGTCGGCTTGGCCGTCGGTTGATGCTGTGAAATCAGAAGGAGGAGTTCAAGGCGGAAAGAAAAAAAAGGGAGGAATAAAAGAAAGGGAGCAATAAAGCTCACAACACTACGCTGAATGAACTAAAAAGTGACATTTGTGGATTTTGTATCTGTGTCTGAGTCAAGGACTTTCCGAAACTGACCAGCACAGTAGGACTGAAAAGTTGCCAGAAGTTTGAAAATTATTCTGTGAAAAGTGTCTCGAGTGGTGAGAATAAGTGATTCATTGTTAATTGATATTGACTGAGGATTAAAAATATGTCTCGGCCCAGTGACAGGCAGAGTTATGCACAGACATACAAATTAGTTGTTGTGGGCGGAGGGGGTGTTGGAAAATCTGCCATTACCATACAGTTCATTCAGGTATATTTTTTGTTTTTTTTTCTTGCGTATTTGGAGGAGGAAACAGAGGAAGAGATAGAGAATTACGGAGAGATTTCGTAATCTTGATGTATGACGTTAGCATGCCATTGCCATTATTAGCGCATCAGATTGCGTGAAAGCAACAAGTTCAAATGTGTAGCCAAAGGGGAGGCCAAAATATTGATCTCTTTATGCATCTGATTTAGATGTGAGAGGAAATTTATTGGTTTTCCTATTGAACATTGTTTCGTTACATTATTGTAATAATAATGAAGAGAGATTTTTGATATTGTGTGGGAGGGCCGTCGTGGGGTAATTCATGACAGGTCTGCGTAGGTTCGCTTTTCAGGCCTTGAACAGTCCATGATGAGAGAAAGACAAAAATCAAATGGAAAAAAAAAGAATCAATAAGTTGCAGTATATTGTCCACAATAACGAAAATGAAATCTTCCTAAGCTGTATCCATCCATCGAATCTAATCAACTGGAAGGATAAGCTTAATTGACATTGTCAGGAGAGATGCAGACTCGTGCGATACATGAACATATTCGGAAATCTGTCCTACTCATTGTTATTTCTTGATAACGTGGGTGTGATGTTTGTTGCCTCCTACCAATCTTCAGCCCCCCCCCCCCCC